TAAATTGAAAACGAGAACCTTAAATCAATTTACGATTTTTGTAATAAAGAGGAAAGTTACATAGAAGAAGGGCCTTTATGTCTGGACTGGGCTGCTTTTCCAAATAAATAAATAAATAAATAAATAAATAAATAAATAAATAAATAAAAGAATAAGAAGGATTCACAAATTGGATATATTGATAATCAGGTCAAAGACTGGATTAATGAAAGCTTTTCAAAAGGTGGTACCCGGCGAGCACATGTTTCTCTCTTACATGGCTTTTAACGTTGACGAAGTCGTTCGCGTCCCTTGTCTGTCGCTGAGTTAGTTTGTTTAGGAGACGCGAACCTATTCGTGAATTAAAAGCCATGAAAAAGAGAAACCTCTGCTCGTACTCCCTCTTTGCAGTGGCTACTTCTGGGCGTTTCGTCTGTTAGAGAGACAGCGTCCTAGCAACGTCGGGGAGCGATCAAAAGTGGCCGTATTCGCAGGCAGTAATTTAAGAGCCGTTGATCGTTGTCTTTTGGCTTTTTAAAGAAACAACACATTTTAATAGATCTCCTGGTGAATCGGAAATGAAATAAACCACTCAAAAAACGAGCAAATCAGTGAACTTAACTAAACTTGAGGAATTTGCCTCAAAAATAGCATTTTATAGCATAACACTAACTAAAGGTCGGAACTAACTTACTTAAACCCTTCTATCAACTAATGAAGCAAATTTCGTATTCTGTTTGGCTGACTTACTTTATTTTTACATCCTCTCGTGAATAGCGAGCAGAGAAAATCCGGGGTCGCTATAATTAAAAGGGAATGAAAAAAAAAAGTGATGAAAGCCAGCTGAAAGTGCGTTTAAGAAAATGCCAGCAGATTTTTTCTTCTAAGATAAGAAAATGCCAGCAGATTCTCACTTCTCACTTTGATAGCTAGTCAATGCTAGGCCGTTACCAAAGAGCATAATTAACGACCTGAACCGTAGCGACTCCTCTAACTGGTTGTGCTCATAAAGCAATAATGGAAATAATATTTGACATGTATTTGATGAGTGCTCGTAACTTGAAAGACAATTTAGTTTCAGAAAGTGTGGAAACTTTGAACTTGCGCATGGGGAAAAAGATTTCACAGACTAATATATAAAGACATATTGTATTCAGCATACTACGTCATTTGTCAGTAAAATAAATGCTAATTATCATCCCGTCTTAGCCAGTATAATTACCTGCATGCTGTTAATATCACACCACTTGTTTTTCGGATCACTCTGACAGAGCACAATTAAATCTCTACAATGAAGATACAGGGGTATATTGGACCCACATGCTAGTATATTCCCAATGGCTTTGAAAAACGCATTTTGAAGTCATGAAACGAAAAGAAGTTATTAAATTGTCCGCTTTACACAGATTGTTTCAAAGAGCCTGGTGGAATGTTCCCTGGTTCGACCGTCTTTTATGGCGATTTTTTGTGATCCTTTTGGAAGAGCTCAACTCAGCAAGTGAAATTGGGCCTCGTAGTTAAGGTCTGTGACTTGAAACAATTAAACGAGAAAGGAACGCTACACAAAGGGAGTTAAGATTTACACAGAAGGCTTCTCTTTGGTATCTTAAATGTCATAAATAGGCAAAGAGGTGAAGCCTCCTACTCAGTAATACTGCTAATCGTGGGAAAGTAAGCCCTGTAAGGTATTTATTAAAACACTAGTCAAGCATCGCGCTTTTAATTTGGGCATGTTCATATGGGCTCTTTTGAACGGGCCAGTCTGCCATGTATTTCTATGAGAGCCCTCAGCTAACAGTACGTGATAGCGTGTTCCACAGTACAAAATCTCAGTCATAAACTAAATTTTATTCGTAAGTGGTTGAAAAAGATTCATGCCCAGTACACGCGGTTGAATTGCTCATTTGGGAAAATTCCAGCCCGGATAACCGAGATTTCAGTAGTAACTGGGCTGATTTGTTTTCTTATGAACGCATCCACGTAGATTTGACAAATGAGGAAATGGGGTGCCTCGAGATTATGCGTCAAGCGCACACACATACGACTAGGTCCATCGTGTCTTAAAAAAACTTAGTTTATTAAAAGCCCTGTTAAAGTTTTTTTAGTCGCAAAAATCTCAAAATTAATCTTTCATTTGCATAATATATTTGGGATTTGTTTGCGGTGAATCTTGCTTCCTTGAACGCATCACCAGTAATTTATGGGCGGGAGACATAAATAGCGGACTATTTTTGTCGTTTTAGTTGCGGAAACGGTTTAATTACCCGGTTGAATCTTAGAATCAATTCCACCAAGAAACCACCTATTTTAGAAAAAGAAATGTCATGGCTAAAATAGGTGAAATCGAAAACAATGTCTTATTAAAGGAATCCGCTGCTTTTATATACAAGACGGAAAAACGTCAACGGAAATTTGTGGGTTTCCCTAGTCAAAAGGATAGGTAGAATATGTACGGAAAAAGGCTGCGCTCATTACCCTTGCAAATTGCCCTTGTTCCTCCTTGCGTATCTCCTTGGTCTTCAGACCTCAGTCCCCATTAATCCGTTTTTCGTTTAGTTATTTTGATAAAGCCGTACACTTCGATGTTTGTCTTGGTTCACACTAATACCATAAGAAACGCTGAACGTTTCATCGAAGACGACATCAACGATCCTCGGCTGCTTTGGAATATATTCCGTTCTATGGATGAGGAAACGTACGGCTTTCCGAAATATTGCCTTCACTCGTGAAAGGAGTTCGTTGCTACCCGTTCTTTTGAGTGAAAGTTTTAAAATAGTGTAGTGTATTATGTAGTTTTACTTTTCATTTAGATTTTTATTTTTTAAAAACAGTTTTTGACATAGCCTGCGATCAGGCTCTATTTTCCTCAGCTCTCGCTTGGTAAATAAACTTCCGCGATAACATAAGAAAAATTGTGGTAATAAGAGCTGGTTAGATTGAGCCTGATACCAGGGCTTTTTAACACACGTACGCCAGCTGGATTTTGCCAGCTTCTGCAGGTTGTGAAAGTGATTAGGTCGGTGTTGTGTTGAATTGTACCATGGGACGGTTTTGGGCACGCTGTCGCTTTTTCCATTCGCCACTTAAGAAACGATAGGGGAACTGGAGACTAAGTGTGTCCCGCAAACCACGGCGGTCAAACGTCTAAATCGCTATTTTTGTTTTTTATTGCTGGGATTTCATTTACCAGTTAGAGAAAAATGGGCAAAGATGTATAAATCAGTTAGTCAACATAACTATCTTTCCATTTTTCTCAAAATTTTGAGCTTTTTTCGCTGAAAACATTTTAAAAAGTTTAGTAAACTAACAGGATGTTGGTAATACCCTAAACTTTCGATAGTGAAAGTAGCAACCTTAACTTTGAAGTATTTCGCTTAACTTTTGCAAATTTCACTCGTTTGACCGCTGTGAAGTCCCGCAATTGTTTCTGGAATCGTTACTGGGCATGCGCCGGTCAGCTATTGGCCAATTTTTTTCCCAGTCCCTAGTAACGGTCCCAGAAGTCTTTGAGAAAGTTAACTCGACCGAGTTTCCCTGCCGTTTCTAGAGTGGCGAATAGCCCGCGTTCGATATATTAAAATTCTAACATGCCCTCCCATAACTCCGATTCTTTCTGGTCATTTTTTTCTTTATTTAGTTTGGTTTTCTTTGTGCTCAAGTCTCTTCCGAGAATTGCAAGACAATAGAGTCGTGAAAAATTTGCACTTTTGTCCCTAAAATCTCGGAGCCGTTAGGATTTTAATATATCGTACGAAGGCTATTGGCCCAAATGGGTCAAAATTCGTCCTCCAAAACAATCCCACAATGCAGTTTCGACACAAGTCAGTCTCATGTGAAAAGTCAGAATGGAGCATAAAATTCTAGTGGTTTTTTCCTTGATTCCATGACTAATACTAACTGTGATATCAAGAGAAAGAAAACAAACAAACGAGATATAGCGTTGGTGAGCGACTGAATGCGGACGGAGGCGAGATCTCATTGCTGAAATGGATAAAATGTATACAGCTATTTCGAGAAAGGTTGTCGGAAAAAATGTGCATGCGACAATCCCGAAAGGTAATATGGGATATGATCAATACACTGTTCCTGACGACTGTAGCTGTCGAACCTACTTTTGTTGCTTTCTCTTAGCACTCGCAAGCACATTTCCATGGCCTTTCGTGCCAATTCTTTCAAATTTCTTTGAAAAAAAGAGAACTCAAAGCTGCCCACAATGCCTTTCAGGATTGTCGCGTGCACTTTTCCCGACAACCTTTCTCGAAATAGCCGTAGACGAGAAGAAATAAAACGTTTTCGACAAGATGAAAATGTAGGGTACGGAAATCATCAACGTAAACAACAACCCTTAACTGTAACAAACCTAAAACACCCATTATTCAAAACCGCAACAATCAAAGAAAGAAATCCTCTCAATTAAGAACAAAGAAGTCGGGGTACGACGCAAACTCGTTGTTTTAGTTTTAAAAACGAGTAAAACTACAAAGAAAGGAACGCTTTTACTCTCCAAGAGGCCTAGGGACTGCTAGTCAACTTGTTTGGGTGCTCGAATTGTCAAAGTTTCAAGACATAAAATTTCTCATGAGTTCAGCCAAAGGAATATGGTCTTATTACCTAGCGTGGTTACAGCGTGGTCGCATGGCGGATAAAATGTATAAAAGATGAAACTTTTTTTAAAATCTTGAATATGTATTTACATGTCATTAGCAGGAGCCCATCACCCTGGAGTCTCTATCTGCTTCTTATAAATATCTCAGCCAATTAGACTCAGTCTATTTTTGGTACTTTTTTCCACGACCATTTGCTCTGTTCATAACTACTGAAATCGCTTCCTTCGTTGAACTCTGCTGACCCTGACCTCAAAAATGAAGTTGGAAAACTATGCGATGCATTGGATTGACAACCTCACTATTCGCCACTGATCTCAGCTTCTTTTGCTGGAAATCATCCTCTGCTGTAATTCGCTGAGAGATTGTAGGCGTGAAAGGCGAATCTGCAAATAACCTGTCTAAAACGCTGTGACCAAGAAATTTCTCAGAGAAATGGCCAAAGTTCCGGGGTGAATGTGATCAACTCGATCGTGTCATTAGTTGAAGAATGTCTCAGACAGGGTCTCAAAGCTTACAATGTTGTGGAACATGATATTTGCAGAAGTGAAGATACAACAGCGCAAATGTAAAGCTGAGTTTTCCAGATATTGTATGACGGCCGTACAAGTTTGCCATACAGTCACCTATAATTACACAATCCGCGTGTCGAAAGTATAAGTCATCTTTTCCGTCGAGTCCTGTTGGTGCTCGTAACAGACTCTGGACCAGTGAAGGTGACAGGAAGTGAGAACAGATGGTCTCCAAAATATTTGGTCGCCAGATCGCGTTTAGGTAAATTTGTGTTGATGTTACTAGAATTGGTCCCACGCCTCTTCGAAGAATGGGACGGGCGAACCTGTTGCACTTCGGAGATCCTACAACAAGATCAGTCACAGACCAGATAATAAGAACCGTGACCATAAATGGAGCGGCGGTAATTTATATTAGGCGTATAGCAACAGGGCCCAGCTGTAATGACGACAACATAAAATAAAACACGAGGGGAGACTGTCATTCTAGGCTTAAGGTCAAGTCGCCCGAAAACCCGAGTTATGTCGCCCAAAACTTTACCCGCATGCACAACAGTCTTGGTTCGTCTCAACGTGGCTTGAATAAAGAAAGAGATATATTTCACACAATGCTTCATTCAAATTTATTTCTCTCTGTATAACACCTGATAAAATTTCGGGAGAACTAACTTCAGGCGAGATGACTTTCGGGCGACTTGACTGGTTACCTCAGTATGTGACGAGTAGTCCCTCATTTTTCTCAGGGATAGAAGAGCTAGTGAGGTATAAGAGCGCTCATGAAACTCTTGTCTTATCCTCTTCGTGCGTGGCGATCATCATGCTTACTCATGCATTCCACTAGTTCTTATACCCCAAGTAGTCTAGAGATGTCTTCCACTATGGCAAGCAGTATAAGACAGAGGGCCTAGATTAAGTTACTGTACCTGACGTTAGAGCCGTGTGATGTTTCAAATATCTCAGATTCCTGTTGAATAATTTTTCTTTCCACAGGCGTCGGTTGGTGTGCTAAGTCAAAATCAATTTTCCGCTGTTTGGAGATGCAGAATTTGCAGGGAACCTCACCATTTACTGAAAAGGGAGATGAGGACCGGTTCATACACCGAACTTTTGATGAGCCAAACTAAGTACATAAAAAGTTCGATGTCTGAATCAATATAGGAACGTCTCATTCAATTTGGAACGGCTCAGCCGTTTTTCCCGCCTAGCCCGGCCGGGAATTTCGACTTTGGAGCGACTTTGGAAGGGCTTTGATTTAGACGCCGTTTTTTTCATGTGCACATAACGCATTTTGAAAGCAGCTTGGCGGAAATGAGCATTTTTCATCTCTTGAATTTAGTGCAGCTGGAATTAAGATCGGCGTCTGAATCAATTCTGCCGGTCAAAATAATTTGGGTCGGCCTTAATAATTCGAATTACAAGGTTCGGCTCATGAAAAGTTCGGGGTCTGAACCGGGTCTAACAAGAAGAAAAAAAAAACGACACAGAAATGCCTTCAGTTTACCCAAAAGGGTAATCCTCCAAGCTACCCTAAAGCCAGAACATCACAATGTTTCCATAAAATGATTCATTTTAGACATGTTTTTACATTACTTTTTGCAGTGACAACATTATGCTGGCCAGGTCACTGGCCAGCAAGTAATGCATTCTTACACTTGACACACTTGCAACAGTCCTTTTCAAGTTGTTTTTGTTTCAATGTTTCTGTTATCAGAGTTATGTTCAGCCCAAGTACACCAAGTAAGTTGACAGAAACATTAGAAATTACTCGATTACGGTAATGTTGTTACCTAAAAAGTATTGGTTTGCTTAAATTGTGACTGTGTTTGCTGATAATATTGTTATATCGGGAAAGATTGTATGTTCGGGCCGCTAAATTCTCATCGTTATATGGGGAATATCGTCACTTCGAAGATCGTTAAATCGGGGTTCTTTCCCCTTCTACTGTAACTTTTGCCGGGACAAACAAAGAATAATTATTCATCTTTATACCGGGAACATCGTAATACACGTATCGAGGATCGCTATATCGGGGTTCCTCTGTACTAATTTAGCTACTTTTCAAGTTTGTGGCATTAGGTTAAACTGCAAAAAAGAACGCGCCAGAGGAGAAGCGAAAGTCCTCAAGCGTGGGTGAAAATAGCGCGTGAAAGTGAAAAACGCGCCTTGAAAAACCGACTTTGACGAAAACCTGACCGAGCAGGAGCCTTTTCAAGTGTAAGCTGACATACTGAAATAATACTGGAACCTTTTGTTGAAGCGCAATCAGTTATAATAAAACACTCCTGCATTAATTGTTAATACAGGGTAAGTTGTACCTGCTTTCAGATATGAATTAGGATTGCCAGTACGCTTGGCAAAGTCTAGTGGTAAATCGCCACTGGCTGTCTGTGCATCTGTGTCAGCGCCATATTTGATAAGACAGCTTACACTCTGTAGGTGAGCTCCTGAGGCAGCTGAATGAAGAGGAGTTGCTCCTGAGCCTAATAGTAACGAAAAGAAACAACAACTATCGCTCTTAAATGCGTACAAGATCAATGTACTTGCTTTACAGTTTTAATAGTTTTTCTAAAATCTGGCTGGTTATACTATTTGTGATGTACTTTTTGTTGCACTTTTAATGCAGTTTCTCTAAGAAGTTTATACTACATGTACTTATACAATGTGATGTAGTGGCAGTACAAAATTAACGTGATTTCTGTGCAATCAAGTTACAATAACCGTCAAAACTCCCTAACAAAGCAGGCACCCTAGGGAAGCATAAAACACGTCTGCAACTAAAGCTGACCGCCTATCGGAATCGCTTTCAAAAGCAGATATTTCAAAGGATCGATGTTTTGTCGCGCCACAGACGAAACCAAAATCTGGATAAGTCTGTCTGCGAAACAGCACCGAAATCCTTGTAGTGGGCCCACACCTGTGTACCAGGATTTGAGTATGAGTCATGATTAGCCTGTTAAAAATGCCATTTTGGACTTGCTATTCAGGATGAAAGGAATTTCGAAACGCTCTTCAGGTGTAATTCGTTGAATCCGTTGGGGGCTCAGAACGAGTTTCTCGTCGCTGGCTCACAGATGTTACTAACCGAGGTTAAATTAAGTCTGCGATGTAGGCTAAGGCAGTCTTAACTAGTTTATAGAGCTGTCTACAGCTTGACAGAAGGCTGGGTCGCTACTCTCTCGGGTCCGGTCTGAGCGTGGGCTCATTTCCCATGGAGTGGCTGGTAATAGACAAATTACAAAGCATATTTTTTTCAGAACAGCCGTTCTACGGAAGTTATTCGACATTAGATTCTCATACAAACACTGTAATTTCTCACGCGTTTGCCTACTCGTCAAGATGGCGACGAAAACCGTGACAAGGTCTATTGAGCCTTGGATTGGAGTGTTCATTTGGAAAGCTCTGACTGTCAGTATTTCACTCGTCAATAATCAATATTCCTAACAACGCAGCAAGTTGTGCAACGACCTGTAAGTCTAAATGGGCATAAACTTTTTTAACAATTCAGTTCTCTGGCTGTTTACATTAGCAAGATATTAGTCCACATATAAAACTGAGAAGTTACTGTTTAGTAAGTAAAGATCTTTACCATCTCTGATGTTGGGACTAGCACCACATTCAAGCAGCCAGTGAACACATTCTGTGGCACCATGTTGTGCAGCCTAAAATGACAGTTATCAGTTGACAAGTTATTACAACTGAAGAAACCTCAATTGTACAAGGAATGTACAGTCAAAAAATGACACATCAGAGTATTTTGTAGTGCTATGGGTGCAGGGCTGTTTTTAATACTAACGGCCAGAGGTTTGGCCCAGTTATCCAGTATGACTAATCTGGCTACCTTCATTGGAATTATTGAACTTCCAAGATGTTTTAACATTTAAAAATTCCCCGTGAACTAATTTCATTTACGCAGCAACTTGACATTTTAGTGACAGCCCTAGGGAGTGAAGAGGAATGATGGTGTCCAACTGTCCATCCTAATTTCATTACTCCTGCTCCAAAAATGTAATCATTCCATTACGCCATTTAAAAAAAACAACAAAAACAAAACAAAAAAGAAAAAAACATTTATCTGTTCAAAATATCTACTTGTTCCAGAAAAAGGAAACAGTTGTTCCATTTCCTTCCGCGGAAAGGCATTTTTCTATTAATCCAAAGACACAATTTCTGCTATTCCTTTTCCAACATTTCTTGTCTAAAGAGGAATTTTATGAAAGGTGTTATGCACAAGGCAACAGTAATACACATAGAAGTGCATCCTAATTATTTTTTAAAGCAGTGAAAAATAAAATGAATAAATAAATTGGCAGTTCACTATCAACCTTACCATGTGCAGCAAGGATTGTCCAGTTCTGTCCCTCACATCCCGTTTAGCCAGACCAGAACCCAGCAGAAAACCTAAACAAGAGCAGTGATTATTTGCAGCGGCATAATGAGCTGGGACACATCCAGCAGTATCTCTGGAGTTTACATCAATATCATTGTGAGCGAGTGCCTTTATTGCTTCTAATCCACCTGCGGTGGCTGCATGATGGGCAGGTGTCCGTCCTTGGTCATCAACGTGACTCAGTTCCCCATCACTCTCATTCAAACACCTAATGACAGAAGAGCTCATGACCTCAGAAAAGGAAGTCAGGAATTTTGCCCCATAATGAGTTCACCCCCAGCTGCCGTAAGAATTCAATTGAGTACAATTCATAGTAGCTCATAGTGAATTAGCCTTGTAAAGAGTTAGCCCCATAAAATGTTCACAATAATATTATTAACACCATGATCCATCAAACATTTCGATTTTAACTACCGTACTCACCTTGTACCAAAGCTTGCTAAGCTTTGATATAAAGCGTGATCTGGCTGAAGCGTTCTGTACTTGACATACTTTGCCAACTTTTTGCATGTGCAGTGTGGTAGAGTTCAGCTTTTCCAAATGGATAAAATTGATCCAGTTTGACTTTACTTTAATTCACTCTTTGATTACAAAAGCAACTTAAGCAACTTGTAAGGAGATTCAAATGTACCGTTTTCAAGCAGTTTTCTGAAGGTCTGAGGTCTTAGATTTCGAGACACCATGCATTTGCCGCCAAATTAACCTACCAAAAACTTTCCCAACTTTGATTACAAAACATTTCCTACGATAAGCTCATGACCCAAGCCAATTCATCAGTATGTTTTAAATAAATGTCTTAATGAGTGATTTGACTATAATTTGGGGTTATACCAAGTCTGGGTGTTGATCTTAGAAAGTAGGGGGCAAACTTGTTGGGTCAAAGCTAATTCACTCAAGGGGGCAAACTCACTGACATTCTCAGAATAAACCGTTTAACATTTTTTCTTCAAATTTTGTTATGGACCAGTCAGGAAATGTCTTAAGAGTGCCTTAGAATTAGTAAACTTGCCAAGCTTGATACATTTGAAGCAAGTGAAGATAGGCTTTTGCAAAAATGGCAAAATTTGGGGGGCAAAAATTTACCCTCCATCATAATGTCTATTATATTTTACCGCTTTGCTTCGCTATATCTTTGTTATTTTTCAACAAATTACTATTAAAATTTTCAGCTTTACTAGTTTCAATGCCTTTTTTGCAGCAGTGGCATTGATGATTCTAGTAGAAAAGCAGCCTTTGTTTCAAATTTTTTTCTTTTATAAACATGAATACTAAATAGGCACACACTCCTAGCCAACCTGCGTGCTTCATAAGCTGACGGAGATAAGCATGTATAAAATTATCTTTAATGGAAAGAATATAAATATCCAATTCCAAGACTTCAAATTTCAAACTATTTAAACACTACATAAGGTAAAGTATCATGATGAAGCTTACATGGAATTTCTCAAGGGATAGGTTAGGTGTTTGAACAAAGAATCCAATATTGGGGAGATAAATGGATTTGATTCCTAGGACAACAATAATTTTATTATTTTTTCCTCAGCATTTTTATACAACCTACCCTTTTTGTAGGTCTATGAAGGGAGATTTTCTTTCAAGACCCCTCTTTCTTACATGTAATTCCTAGAAAGGCTTTTTTTTATAGGAATAATCACCAACATTATAACAACTTTGAGGCTGTATCACTGGCACACCTTAAAAAAAAAAAAAAAACAGTCTAGGACTGTCATTCTCACCTTAACACAGAAGGATGATTTTTCATAGCTGCTAAGTGTGCTGGGGATCGTCCCAATTTGTCCTCAAGTGTAACATTACTCCCACTTGATATTAAAACCTTCAAGCATTGACTTTCCCCATGATAGGCAGCCAGATGAGCTGCTGTTTGGCCATTGGAATCTGCAATATCTATATCTGTCATATGTTGCAGTAATTTTTCTACTACTTGAGTATGACCCCCGGTGCATGCTTCATGTAGTGGTGTCCTGTGAACACTGCTGAACTTCATCGGATCTGCACCTGCCTGAAGTGAAACTTCGCATAAGTCTTTTTCCATAATCCTGACCCCTCATCTAGGAAGATCCTGGTACTAGGTAGCCTGCGAGCAATTTGGGGCGTTCTGGAGGCGGGGTGGGAAAAGGAAGGAGAGCTTGCAACTTCGTCTCTAGAATTTGATTACCTTATCTGCATCAAAGAATTGGAAGTCAGTGCAAAATGCTGACTGGTGAAGATGACATTAGTAATGATGTCATTACCCTTGGCACATGTTTTTTTTTTCAATGTTTGTTTATGTTCACGCTTGTTTCCACTTCAGGCTGATTGGTGGAAATGTGATATCTCAGTCGACGGGAAGCCACAGGGGAATTGGAGATGGAATTCAAATTCCTGAGATGTAGTTGCAAGCTCTCCTTCCTTTTCCTGCCCCGCCGCCGGAGTGCTCTGTAGGGCTTGCTCGCAGGCTTAGTACTAGGAAGGGATCCTAGTGCCAGGGACAAGTACAACCCTTTGCATGTAAACTGAAAACAGAAAACATATGGCGCTCGCCTTCTAGGATCTTCCTTCTTCCATGTAAACAGCCCCTAAAATCATTTATCAGTTTGACTATAAAAAAGGTGGGCTAGTTCACAAAGCTAAAGCTCACCTTAAGAAGTAATTTCACAACAGCAAGGTGTCCATAACCGGCTGCTCTGTGAAGCGCAGTTCTCATGGCTCGATGACCGCCAGCTTTCTTGTTTACATCAACGCTGTTGTCTAAAAGAAGCCTTGCAACGGCCTGTGGATCACCACGCTCAGCTGCTTCGTGCAACGGAGGCAACTGGAAAGCGACAAAACTCGACGAAAGTGCAGGGATATCGGTCTCGCTTGCATTGCTTTCTGGTAGATCATCTTCACCAAGTTCGAAATCTTTGCCTCTGCTTGCTGTTAGCGATGTATATAGACTCAGATTCTCGGTCCGAGCGCTATCTGCTTCCCTGAATGACATTATTATTTCTATCTTACAGGAAATGTCAACTTTACAGCTTGTCGGTTGTCTTTGAACGTCAACCTGCTCGCCATTTTTTTGTGTACACGGTTTCCTAGGACCTAGTCCCCGCTCAAGTCTCCACTCCTCCAGCCCAGCTTAGCCTTCCTTAGCGAGTAGGGGAGAGGACATAACCGAACGTTGACAAAGTTGGGTGTGGAGGAGAGAGAAGATGGCTCTTCTTTCATTCCACTTTCCTGCAATCTCTAATCATTGTACTTAAACACTCATAGTAATCGAGTTAACTAGTGGCTACCTTTTAGTGAAAAACTTGTCTATGATGGGTCGAGAAAAAATAGCGCTAACCGGCGGCAACAGGAGGTATTACCTCGCGGGGATCGGAAGGGTAGAAGAGGTTGGTCTAAAGGCGATGTTACACGAGACGATTCGCAACGAAGGTTGTTAGCGCAACACAGCCTTGCAACATTGTTGCGACATTGTTTGAAATAGTTACAACATTGTTCCAACATTGCAATGCTGTGTCGCGTTAGAAACCGTCGTTGCGAACATCACCTCAAGCGACGCGGCGCTTTTTTTAATAACATTTTTTCTTTTATACTTAAAAACTGCCATTGGTTGAAGCGTTCTGCAAACATGCTTGGCGAAAAATCAATAGGTAAAAGCGGCTTGTTGCCTTGGCCATTTAATTGCTGTATACTCCGATTTCGTGAAGAGATAAGCTGAGCGAGCCGTGTTCTGTTTCGTGACAGCTGGTTTGTGGTTTCGTGATACGGATTCAAATCAAATCTAGCTGTGCTGGCTTTATACTGGCTGAGCTCCATCTTCAACGGGTGTTTTACAGCCCTTCACATATTAACTTGTAGGGAAACATAGAATCACTTGCTCACAGCAATGTACATGTGGATTTTAGCTTTACTGCTTTTTGCGAAAAGTGTCCAATGTGCCACGAATTCGAATGAGAAATTGCAGTTCGTCCCTTCATTACCGGTGGGAAAACCTTACAGCTTGACGAACGAAGAAGATGCATGGAGCTTAAAGGGGCTTTCTGAAATCGCGAATGGTATAGCGCTGACATTGAGAAGTCATCCTCCATACGGTGAGATTTTTGTATTTTTACTGACGTTTAAGAAATGGAAATACAGTCGAACCGGCCTCTTTTAAGCGGCCTCCTAATAATTAATGGTGCGGTGACGAACTCATGTACGGTCCGCGGTCCCGGTGAACAAAGTTTGTTGTTCGTAATATAAACAGAATCTTATCAAGCAGCCAATATTTATGAAGATGTCTCTTATTGTCCCTTAATAGATCTTCGACCGTATGTAATCGTTGCCGGTACCCCCGCTTTTGCATAGTGTCTTATCGAGCGTTTTATAATTTTGTGGTCGTGTTAGGTCTATTGTGTTCAAGTAGCAAATAATTGCTTAGTTGAAAATTTGCATGTTCGCTTTTTAAAACAATAGAACAAACGATCGCCTTTTTTTCATTAGAATATTTTGGGTGGATTCATTTTCAACATACGCGTATCGCTGTCGCATTTTTTTAATTGTTTTTAAGCCTAAAAAGCATCAAAACACTCCAACATGCAAATGCAAAATCTACATGCGTATGTTGCAAATCAATCCATCACATAGTTATTTTAAATAAAGGAAAACTGTTTTGCTCTTTCCAAGCTATCTTCAACCAGCTTTCGGCCTTCTATAAAGAGCTATATGTGCTATGAAATTGAAGAAAAAGGACTGATTACTTCATACCAAAAGAGAGAATGACAAGGTTTATTCTGTATTTCCGTTGCGGGTAATCTTGCATTTAAGGTTAACCCAATAAATAATGGGCCTTTTGCAAAAGTTTGTCATGTGATCAACTTTCTGTAAGCACAAAAACTATTCATAATTAAAAAAATCTATTTTAGTAGAAACTGAAAGGGACATATTAAAATAAGGTAACTTTTATATAACTTTCGTGTGTACATATCTTAAGTAGCAATTGCAATGAATGCTGCTCTTGCCACCCAGTCAGGGTTGTAAATTTTGAAATTTTCAATGTGTCGTGGAATCTTTCCCTTATGCATTTAAGGGCTAAAATTTTCTGTTATGAATAAGAGAAAGTTTTAGCTGTGACGGTGGAAGTGGCAGCGATTAACAGGTGTTTTGCCCTTACAGCATGGCATATAACTGTCAGACACTGTATTCAAGGGCCCCCTTCCACCTTGGCGAGTTTAATGCAATCCTTTAAGCACCAGCTCCACACAACACATGTGGGAGCTGTTGGCTGGGAACACTCGGTAGTTCTACCACAGGATGCACTGGGAAGGGGTTGAATGAGCATTAATGCTGATCAGTATGTCAGTAAATTCAAATTTACAAGAAACCAACCCTAAAGCAAATGACACACAGTGACCAGCCCCAAGAAGCCCCAAACTTTTCCTCCCACAATGTTTGGTTAACATACCTTTGTTTTTCTACGGGACAGTACATACCTTGCATTAAGCAAGGGTCCTGTGGTTGATTTATACATTTAGTTTCCAGCTGCATTAAAAATTTTGACCATTAAATGTTAAAAGGTCCCCCCCCCCTGTCACTGCCAGCATGTGGTCATGGGTGAGATTTTTGTGAAAAACAATCTTCTTAACCTTTACAGTGCATTTACTTGAACTGGGGCACATAGAAGAAGATTGTCCAATCAAAATGATTTCTGTTAACAAATGATTCTCAAGTTTTTGGGCAAATGGACCAATAATGTTCATAAAATTTGAGGGCTATTTCTTGAGAGGACAGGAAGTTCAAATTCAAACGGTTGCATTGCTGACCCTTGAATTTAATTGGTCCATTGCCAAAACACTTGGGAATCCTTTGTTTTCAGAAATCGTTGTGATTGGACAATCTTCTTCCAAGTGCCCCGGTTCAAGTAGTTGCACTGCAACTTTTATGAAATTTGTTTGGCTGTTTCTATTTTTTTAACTTGTTAAACTTAACTGATATAACCTGTTTCTGCTTTTATTTGCCAGATATTATTGGAAACATTTTGGATAAATCATTTGGCAAAGGTGGTAAATCACCTAGCATCTCAGAGGTAAACCCCTTTACTCTCTGGATTGGATCAATTCCTGTAACTCACTCATGATTGATGGCAATATATCTTCATAACACCATGACAACAAAAAAATCAGAAGTAAAATCATCAGAAATCTAAAATTTTGACCTTGGGGGTGGGTCTTTAACTGTGTTAAAAAGGTGTTGTTAGTCATGTCATCTGTCATTTGCTCCAAAAGAATCTTGTATAGGGCACTTTATTAAGCGTGCACACTATAAGTCTATGGATATATGCTTCAGAGAAGTGCTCCTTCACTGTAGTGGTGTCTTAGTGTCTATCTACCATTAAAGATTTTCCTTATACCCTTAACAGAGATGTTTTAGTGGCAGGTCATCCATATCCGTACCTTTTGCAGATTTCAGAGGCTTCTTTGAGGTTTTTTCACCCGTCACCCTAAAAATTGTCTAAGAATGAGATGATTTGTCTGTGTATATGTACAAGACCTTTCTGAGGTTTTTGAGCTTTTCTTTGGAAAAATGCGCCCTGCAAGGTCATCTGCTGTACAAGGCCTGAGGGGTGTACTTGTATGTAGTCTGCGACTCAGCGGCAGAAATTACATACTGATGATGTAAATCAATGTTTACACAATAAATCCTGAAGTCATACGGTTTCAGATGCAAATTTGTTCAATTTTATGTTTCTCCTGGTCGATTTTGGGAAAGTGTAGTGTCCATCTGCCGGCAAGGATCCAGCAAAACACAAAGGCTTCTTCTACCGAAGAATATGTTTTACAAATATTCACTGTTTTGTTTTAGATTCATTGGGTTTACATTTGACCTTTGTAGCCTTTTGTCTTTTTTCTGTCATTCGTAAACAAAGCTAAAACAATTTAACTACTCTGTCGTCCAATCAGTGTTTATGACCAGATTCCAGACAGATTTTACGTCATCAGTATGGACTTTCTGTTGCTGAGTTGCAGATGTTCCTCCTTGCGAAACGTCCCCAGTGGCGAGAAGCGAGGAGGTAAAGAAAATTTAAAATTTGAATTTTGGTGATGCGATTGAAAACCCTACTAAGGACACTCCGTAAGTTTTATTGTAAAATAATGTGAATTTTGCTCCTCCCTCAAGGTTGTCTATCTTATTTTGCAGAAAAACATTTGACAATGCAAGTCTCTGCTTAGAAATTCTAAGACACAAATTGGCCTGTCCGTAGATGTATGTGTTTATAATTAGATGTCGAGGCCCCACTGCATGTCTCACCTACAAGGCAAAATTTTGCCGTAAGTGGGGTGTACGTTGGTTTAAAAAAAATAAACAAGTGTGTTCAGAAAGAAGAATTTTGTAGTTAATTTGATGAGGTTTATTTTATCTTTGCAGGTTATTGACTATGAAGTTCCTCTGATAGTTATGGCCTCCCTTGCACTCTCTGCTGCTATTATCATTCCCATTGTTGGCCTTATATTCTGCTGTTGTCGTTGCGGAGGAAAGTGTGGTGGAAACGTAGATGATAGAAAACTTAAACTGCACCCCACTAAGGAAAGAATAGCATACTCTGTTGGCATTCTTCTTTGTGCGTTCTTTCTAATGTAAGTGTGACATTTCGTGTTGGATTAGACAAAATGGGCAGATTATTGGTTGGTTGTACATAATACAATTACATGACAATTGCTGGAACCTACATATTATTTGATTTGCCAATCTTAGTCTTGCAGGGAGTTTTATTCTAGCATCAAGTGTCAGAATGAATGATAGTATCCCTAGAGCCAGAACTGTTTGGAAAGATTCCTTTGGTGATATCCAGCTTTATTCTGACAACACACTTGAGGTAACAATTCGTTATGAAACGTCTCACCAGTTATTGATAAGTTTGGCAATTAGTGCCTGAAAGGTTGTTTGTGGACGTTGATGTCAGCAATTCAGACACAGCAGGGTTATGGTAGCTATGGGAGCTAGATAAGCTGGTGGGGCCTGGGCTTGGGTTAAGAATTAGATACTATATGAAAGACAGGAGTTCTTTGAAGATCTGCAGGACAACAGCACAAAGTAAATTGCAGTAAAATACCACAGGACATGTTTGCATGTCCTACAGGTCACGAAGGGACTGCTGTCTACATTGACGTGGAGTGATATTAACTGAGTTTGCCTTTTGCAATTAGCATATTGTAGGTTTATGCGATTACCTGCGGTACCGCTCTAACTATATATTGTAAGTCACGTGATATATGGTGCAATAACTGTGTGAGAGCTAAGTTGCCAAGATTTTGTATATTACAGCGGTGATTGAAATGTGTTTTGTTACCACCGTGTTTTACTGAAACTTAACATTCGGACATAACATTGGTGGCAGCATTAAAACAAACACGAACTTTCCGGATACCTGTGTTCAGTGGTAATATTTTAATAGTTAGCGCATTTGAATTCCAATGTTTTTCTTTGTTTTCTGTCAAAAGTCTCCTCATATGTTTGCTATCATGTTTTCGCTTGTCTGCAATGGTGGAAAACTCAACTGTGGAATCAGGATTCAAGGGAATGACTTGTTGGACGCCAGTAAATCCTTTTAAACTAGGGAAACTATTTACATCAGTCTGATTTGTCTGTTGACCCGTCACTAAAAATGGACCCTCCAAGTCGTAGATTTCAATGCCCAAACCCGTTTGCTTCGCTAGATCCATCGGTAAATATCGGCAGTGCAGGTCACCCATTTCAAGAAATCAGCATATGTCACCTGGAGCAGTTGACACGACTCTACTGAAGGCCTTGCAGAAACTTCTTGAAGAATGTACTGATTACTTGACTAACGTGAGGCTGAGAGCCCTTTCAGAAGGGGACTTAGGCACCACACATATGGTCCCGCACAGAATCGAAATGGACAATGTGTTTCCAATTAAACAACAGCCGCGACGAACCCCACCACTGAAATATGATGAGTTTGAACGACAAGTAACCAACCTCATACAGCAAGGAAAGGTGAAAGAATTTGTCAAGCCCCTGGTCTTTTTCAGTTGTGGTGGCAACCCCAAAAAACGTCAGTCCAAGGCTGTGTGTGGACTGTCGCCAGCTGAATACATTGAGGGTAAGGGATGCCCTCTGCTTACCGCGAGGTGATTATTCTCTTGCCACTTTAAGTGGCTCATGATGGTTTTCAACTTTGGATCTTGCTATGGGTTACTGGCAAGTGGCAATGGACGCGGACACCCAGGAGAAGGCAGCATTCGTACTTTCAAGTGGCTTTCACGGATGGAATGTGATGCCTTTCGGGCTTTGCAAAGCACCCAGAGCATTTACCAGATTGATGGATCTTGTTTTGAAGGACCTGCATTGGCAAATTTGTTTGATCTACCTTGATGAAGTAGTAGTTATGGGGCGTACGTTTGGAAAAGAATTAGAGCATTGGAAACAGGTGTTTGAGCGACTATCCAGGGCAGGACTGAAGCTTAAGCGGATGAAAACTTTTGTCTTCCAAAAACAGAAATGGGTTTTGTTTCTCAAACATGTGGTCACAGAGGGTAGTCACAGAGGAAGGCATCGCTGCAGATCCTGTAAAGGTAGAGCAGGTTTGCATGTGGCCCACTCTGAGAAACAGCGTGGAGGTCAAAAGCTTTCTTGGACTTGCCTCTTACCACCTCTGATTCGTCCTTGATTTCCTAACCGTAGCTGTACTAGCTAACAGTAGCCAACACCCATAAGTTTTCCACACCCTTAAGTGAGTGGCTCCTTACTAAGAGACTGTTTAAAATGCTTTTTTGGTTTTCAACTGCAGGAACTTTATCATATCGCAGTCAAAGAGGCCATTCCTACAATAGGCAAACTGTTGAATGATGTCATTGGTAAGTATTGGCGAGAAGAGTGCAAAGGGGAAGGAAAGTGAGTTAAATTTCTCTTTTCATTTGATATCTCTTAACCTTCAATTCCTATCTTCAATTCCAGTTCGTGCTACTTTTAAAACTTCAAGGAAATAAATTTTTTTCTGCTATCCACCCTTGCAGACCCAAGAGCCGCAAGGAAGTAGGGTAGATGGGATTTTCATGTTCAAGAAACTCCTGTCTAGCTTCTTGGGCCTTCTTTAGCTAAATTCCATTGTTGATGAATATCTATTTGAATGATTGTGAATTCGGATGTGTGTCAATTTACCTAATTGGTTCTTTGGTATGAGGTATGGGGTGAAGATTAACCATCTACACGGAGAATATACCGTTAATCCTCAAGCAGGCTACCTTAAAGAACAAGGAATTATACATGTCCAGTTTTTTGTGGGACAGTTGACAGCAGGTCGTTAAAATACAGTTTATTTTAGCAGACAAAACTACTCTTTATTCAAAACAACAAGCACTTTATTGTAAATTAACAATAAAATGAATTTTTCAGTCGTTTTTTGTGTGGTTTTCCGTTTACGTCAGGTGCTGATCACGCAACAATAGGTTTGCTTTCTTTACCTGTTTCTTCGTCATTTAAACGTAAAAATGTAGTTTTCTACAAAACATTTGGAACTTATTAGAGGTACAAAACTTTGTGTCAACACTTTGTGACTAGTAACAATATTTCTATTTTTATCAGCACTTGTGCCGCCAAGCTTTGCTTTGTGTTGTCTGGAAAAGCAGTTAAATCACTATAGAGAAATAAATTTGTCTGTGGGACAACCTTACGAGTTTATAATGACGGCGTTGGCAGAAATTGTTCATGTAAAGGAATATGTTTTCTCTCAACTTTCTATTGTTATAAAGCTGTAATTATGTTGTCAGTAAAACGTTTCTGAGATACATGTTTTATACAGGCACAAAATTGACAGATGGTTTAGAGAGGGAACTTGTTATGAAACTTTTATTTCTAGGGAATAAACTTGTACGCAAGAGAGGTTATTAAAAATTCATTCATTCCCATTTGATTTTTTCAGCAATGGCTGAAGATATTGTTGTACCTGTGCTTAATCAAGGAGCACCTTTGTTTGAAAGTGTTTTCAACTCTGTTTTGGATTGTTCCCAGGGTAGGTATTTGGTCTGTGTAGTACAGTATTCATGTAACAATTTTATTTATTCAGAGATGCCAACCTCTTGAGATCTGAAATCTGAAAACAGGGTTCGCACAGCCTTGAAAAGTCCTTGAATTTTAGGAGAAGTCCTTGAATTCTATTTTTCCTTGAGAAGTCCTTAAATTTCTGTGCAAGTGCTTGAAAAGTCCTTATATTTTCTTCAACTTTTAATAAAGTGGCATGGAAAGTGTTTTTTGATGCTTTTTGGTTGTCCAAAACAGAGTATAAATCAAAGCTCAGGGAAGTTACATTTGTAAAGGTGATCTACATGAAGCCCTTTTTTGTTTTATGCAATTATTAACAATCAATTTTAGACAAGTGAACCGAAAAATGTAGCGAACTTGGTGGAGCAAACAGTTCAAGCCTTAAAGTCCTTTTCGAAAGGACTGGGAATGGAAATATTTGTACAATCAGTGAAATTAGTTTCCTGTTAGGTAGTCCTTGAAAATCGAATGTGGTCCTTGAAAAGTCCTTAAAAACCGGTGGAAATTTTTGTATGAACCCTGGAAGACTTTCACTTTTGCAGCCCCCTTCCCCCCACCACTCTTATTATGTAACCCACCACAAGCCCCATAAAACCCAACTTGTATCCATCCCCAAAATAATTTTTGTCAAGATCCACGATCTAAATCAACAGTCGCTTTCTTAGCTGTAATGTGATAAGCGGTAAACATAACTATGTGCTGCCTATGCTATGCAGAAACAGCGTGTCCAAAAACGGTTTGGGATTGTGGGAAAAATTTGGGCTAAACTCATGACTATAGTACAGAAACGTATCCTGCTCCTATAGTACAGAAACGTTAAAAAGACATTTTTATCTGGGAGATAAAGTGATCTGTACGGGAGAGAGGGAGATTTCCCAGGTATCTTGAAGACTTAATGGGAGAGTTGGCCTTACTGTACAAAAACTCTTTGTTTTATCACCCTCAGGTATAACTCAGTCTTTAGTTCTGTTGAGTGAGGTTGAAAGTGCTGTGCCATCCTTGGTGTCAGTGAGCAGCAACATCCAACGTGAGCTACAGATGGCGCAGAAAAACCTTTCTGATGCTGTCGCCCAGTGCAAAAAAGACTCAGGAGGAGGTGCATGTGACTCATTACCTGAAGGGAATGATCTTCAAACTGAAGCAAATTTCACCAAGGTATTGTAGTTTCCAGCGATTCTTCTAGCAAGTCTCCCCATGGGTTCTCTCAGATCAAAACTAACAAGATAGACGACTGCTCAAATACAATCCAGCATCTAAATGAGTCATTAAGAGTCATGCATAACATAATGTGTAACACAATCCTGCATGAAAGATGCGACACCATACTAAACAAGACCGTGTCATGCCAGGAGTGGAATGTACAGTCATAAATAAAAATAGCCTATATGAGTGTGTATTGCTGTGAAGGTTACAAAGTTCTCTTTAGTCTGGGTTAGATACAGAAATCAGAAGGGTTTGCTCCAGATTAAGGTATCATTATTTTATGGGAAATTGAATGTGATATTAGGAACAAAAAGGTTGAAATTTCTAGTTAGCGGTAAGTTTGGGAGTGTGGATTGTCTTGTTGCCTTGTTTAGAATAGGGTTTGTAAATTCAGCCTGACATTGTCTAGTGCAAATTCATCAGTTTCTGGAATGCGGCAGAGCCTTCTTCGCCCGTATTGGATTGATCAGCCACAGCCGGACACACTGCACTAAATCCCTCTCCTCATGATGTACTTGGTCATGGTCGAAAACGAATAATACAGCAAGACCAGCATTTCAAAATTATTTAGAGGCTCATTTCTCTTTTTGTGTTAGGTCCCTAATGTTACTGATACACACAAGAAGGTTGAGGATGTATCAAAGACAAATCTAACAGATGAAGTTGTTAAGGTGTGTGTTACATTTTCTCCTGATAAGGCTCCCTTATAGTCATATTTTGATTAAGGGTCGCTGTAGATCTATACGCCATAAAATCAAACAGTTTCCCTCAATCTAAAAAAAAACATTTTGGATGTTGATTACGACTCGGGGACCCGTGTGGTTCTGTTCATTCATCTTTGGGACTGTGATATCTACCCCCTGACTTTTGGAGTGTGACCCGTGTACAAAATCGTACAGAAGATACCGGAAAACTCCAACGTTAGAAGTTAACGTAGTAAAAATAGTACCATGAAAAAATACTGCTCAAGAAGCTTCATTTGAATGGATATTATCCCACTGACGCAAAAGTTGGGACTGCATACTAAGCAGCATGTACCTTGTTAATGAACTGTTGAAGAGTTTTCATTTGAATGATTTCGCAAAGGGGGTTCTTTCCGACAATCAAAATTAAGAACTGGATTATACCATTAGAGTTAATGTGGGTGTGAGTGAGCCTTAATTCGCAAAATGTAAGTTCATCGTATTCCTCAAATTCCAGTCACATTAAGCCACATTCCGTCCCCGGCCACTATCGATTGAAAATTTGATAAATTTATAGTGAAAAAGTTAGGGTTTTATTAGTTATTGATAGAGGTACCTGCTTTAAACAGGCTTTTTTTACATGGACACACAATTGGGGAAGAAACCTTTGGGACTCGCAGACGTTCGTGCCTGCTTAATGCAGCTTTCATTTTATACAGAGCAGAGATCATCAATGATAAAGCATCTTTGTAGTCAGAAGTTAATGGGACTCTTCTTTAGGTCATGCATTTCAATGAATGTTTCAGTTTTGTTTATCGACATAATTTAATTCGTTTTCAAGGTAGAGGGTCGGTCGCAACGTAGTGTGGTTTTATCCAGCTTTCATTCTTGACAATCGTTTAAGCAAGAGTTTATTGGGACCCAAAGTAACTCACACATGTACTTTCAGTGAATTGGTTTTAATTTTGTTAACACTATAGCGTGGTTTATATTTTCAGGGCAACGAGTCTGTACACAACATCCTTCACAAAGTTCAGAACTTAACAACAAATTTGACAAAAGGTATGATTTGCCAGTATACTCCTACTTATATGAACATATCAGTTGCTTTTATACGGTAACTCCGTGATCAAAAACCCTGAAACTCCTGAGTTTCCTAAATGATTTTCTTTGTTTTATGACTTCAGACTTTCAGAAATTTTCTGAAAAAATACAAAATGTTGACGCTGATGTATTGAAGCCTTTAAAAAATGACATTAATAAGGTAAGAATACCTTACAATTACCTAGGTATCAACAAATCAATATTTTTAACAACAAAGTGAAGTATATTCACTGTTGAAACCTCATCTTCTTTAGCATTAAAGCTTTTAACAAAGTAAGGAGATCGTCTAATGTGGAGCATGTCGAATTTCCTACATATACATCTTGCATACATTCAGGTCTGTTTTCATCTCCTCTTTTGTATTTTGAGCTTTTATAATTTTGTAGGTTCTGTTTGTTCTTATTAGATGTCGAAATTTCATTTTTTTAGGCGACTTTTTTTTCTCTTGAAACTAAGCTTACAATTTGGCTCCTATTCCTTACTTTACTTGGAAAGCGATTCATTCTCTGCCATCAGCGATGTTTGTAAGAAAACCTTTCAACCCGGTCTTTTGGAATAGGAATATCGACGTGAGATATTTGTACCTGTTTAGAGCGTAATATTATTTGTACTCTACTGAGTGTAGTTAAATAATATCTGGGCTGTGATTGATTTTGCGGGCCCTAATCTATTGTATGGCGCGCTACCTTAATTTTCCGCACGCCCGATTGAGAGATAATTATTACCATGCAAACATCGTTCTCTCTGTCTGTAATGTAAGTTTTGGATCCTGGTGTTTTCCACTGATTTATGGCCTGGGTGCGATACTCCATCCATAACTCACAGAACACTCCCTTACAACTTAGCTCTTCTTTGTATATACGCAGTTTGATTATTCACAACTCATTCCATGGAGTTTCCTTATCTTTTGACAGTATTTACAAAATTCGCTATACCCATTAAGAGACAATGTGGATGACAAGTATCTTGGGCCTAATGGAATGCTCTCCAAATATGACAAGTACAGGTACGACTTTAATTTGCTGCAAGTTGTGTAGGAAGTTATACTAGTTATGTCACTGCTCATAGGGGGGTCAGAGTGAATTTAGCGTTATGCCTTTTGGATTATGCAATGCTCCTTCAACCTTTTAGAGGCTCATGGGACCTTTGCCAGGTGGAACACCATTGGAGGTGTGTGAAAACGCGTGCGTGAAACCAAAATATATTTTTTTGTATTTTGGAACGCGTGGACAGCGTTAAAGGTGAAGTCTCAATGAATCAGAGCGATCAATGCAGGCTTTGTACATTTGTCTTTTCCTTTTTATAAAAGGAAGGACCGCAAGGGTGAAGTTTTAGCTCAAAACTTCCAGAAAGTTGGATTTGAAATGGTAAAATGTGACAAGCAAAGTTCTTTTGTCTCTTCTCATAAAAGCTAGGCGCTGCGCATAAACATGTTCCAGTTTCAAGTCGATCTGTCTCTCCAATTGGCAAGAGCGGTGCCGTGTCTGTTGATCTCAACGAGAACATTTTCGTAAAAAGAACAAAGCTGACCCGGCAACTGATGAATTTCGCGTGGAGAACCGAAACCATGGTCTTGCATGATCAGAAAGTAGCAATAACAGAACAATCGAAATTCAAAAGTTATTACCAAGTAATCATTGCTTAATCAGCCATCTCGATTGAGTCAAAATGTAGTTCTCCATAGCTGTTGTGGCTTCTGTTTAAAGTGAAATCCATTCTTCGAAATTTGGATGTGTAAATCACTATCCGAGAGAATTTTTAAACATCCCATCAAACAAAAAGACAACACCAACGAGCTGGGCCCAGCATGACAATACATTGAAGTAAACCATCGCATTCCCTGACCAAAGAAAATCGTTTTTTAGTTATTTTAAGGTTGTCAGATCCAGGAGGCACTTTGGAGAATAAATTAAACGACTTTAAACCCCTTTTTTAGTCACAAGAAGAGCTTTGCATTTCAAAAGAAGTCAAAGAAAATGCTCTTGCACTGGAGGGCAAATCTTGCCGACCAGAATAAACAACAACTACAGAAAATTAATATGAGTGTCACGCACCATACAAAACCTCTCAATATGAAACAAACCTTTAATCGTCACATGTCAATATTGTTCGACTAGCCGAGCCAATCAGGCGCTGCGTTCGCTGGCGAACGTAGTTTTTCAAAATCGAGGGGTTTGGCAAGCGTTTCCTTCCTTCTTCTCCCCCTCCCCCCTCTTTCATTTTTGGCTCTCGTTTCATTTCTCGCGCGGCCAAAACCGAAAAGTCCTTTCCTCGGTCTTTCCTTGCTCCGAAACCAAACGGAAACGCTTGCTACGCAGGCCAGACGATTCATTGAAACTCCGTTTCCCATGGAGACGATTTATCTGTGGGACCGATTGAGTTTCACACGTCTGGTCAATAGGTTCAGTTGAAGGGAATACAAGCACTGCGTTTGAAAGGCCAGGAACTTAAGTATTTTGGGTTTGTTTTGGTTGTATGGGTTATCTGTCCGAATGGCCTCGCACGTAAACTAAACAAAGTAAGAAGTGTTCGAAAAAGGGGAAATTTAAGACCCACAGGAAAAGAATGCCAGACTTCTCATGGTAATGAAAAGTATTGAAGTGCAACAGTGAAGAAAGCTGATGTAACCAAGATTGAGGTACCAGCCAAAGTTCTTGGCTTCCAGCCTCCCTCTCACGAAAATCCCCACCTAAAGAGCCACCATGCTGAGGAGATTATCGCAGAAGACGACATTCAGCTACGGAAATAGGTTGGAAACTTGTACTTCTCGAGAATGTCATGTTGTATTGTTGCCACCTGCACCAGAATGATTAGTCTTGTTGCATCATATGCAACATCTCTGTGTCTCAACAGTGAAGCCGTAAACCTTGTCAAGAGGGAATTGCTGTTGTGTAGGTGACGCCAAGTACTTTGGTTCTGCACACCGGAATAACATCAACCACTTCTAACACATTGGCAACTCAGCAGCCAAGCTAAAGGAAGATCGTGTTTTTTATAGGGCATCCTAAACTTGCTCTCTGACTCTTATTTAAAACATTGAATTCGTTAATTAAAGGACCAAAGGTTAGGGGAAAATAACGTCTGGTAGAAATAAGGATTGAAGGGAAACACCCTGATACACAACTGGAATGATGAAAAGTATGAGTTAGAGTTAGAGGTCAATGAAGACGTCTTATAATCAGCAAGAATAGACGAAATGATCAGCCCCGAAATTGCAAAAAATGTAGCTACTCTAAGAGTAAAGATACTGCCTGCTATCAGGGTACTAAGTATACTTAGGTCAAATTACTACAACTTTCAATTTCTTTACTGCAGGCTTTGGCTGCCCACACCCTTCGTACCCCGAAAAGAAAAGAACAAGTAGATCCATTATGTGCAACATATCCCCAGATAACGGTTAAATCACATGTTCTTTTTAATTTATTTTTTCTTGAGGCATGTGGCCTTCATTGTGTTGGGTACATTGACTCTGCTGGATGCTTTGCTGTTGATTGTTGCTGTGATACTTGGCCAGATTGGCTCAACCACATATGACACGCCCAGCAGCAGGAGCAACTGTACAGACTGGGGCGGAAGGCTTATGATTGGGTAAGTGTCTCGTTTATTGCTGAAAGATTTGAACTCAGGAGTCAGTTCAGGTGGAATATGATCGCCCGGGTGTGCGTAGTCCTGAATAGNCCTTCGTACCCCGAAAAGAAAAGAACAAGTAGATCCATTATGTGCAACATATCCCCAGATAACGGTTAAATCACATGTTCTTTTTAATTTATTTTTTCTTGAGGCATGTGGCCTTCATTGTGTTGGGTACATTGACTCTGCTGGATGCTTTGCTGTTGATTGTTGCTGTGATACTTGGCCAGATTGGCTCAACCACATATGACACGCCCAGCAGCAGGAGCAACTGTACAGACTGGGGCGGAAGGCTTATGATTGGGTAAGTGTCTCGTTTATTGCTGAAAGATTTGAACTCAGGAGTCAGTTCAGGTGGAATATGATCGCCCGGGTGTGCGTAGTCCTGAATAGCACTGTTGTTGAGAGTGCCTGACGTTTCGACAACCTGTGCAGTAGTCATCGTCAAGGTGATACAACTCACTTTGACTCTGAAGATGACTAAGGAACAGGTTGTCGAAACATCAGTCACTGTCAACGACAGTCCTATTCAGCACTTCGTTCACCCGGGCGATCACATTCCACTTACGTAGGTCTTGCTAGAACCTACACAGTTCTTAAGATACTGAAAGGAAGGTCAAACTACGTGTGAATGTACTATTGTCCTGGAATAAAGGTTCTGCAACTTGATTTGACCGAAGATTAATTTTTATTCTTTCAGAGCTGCTGGACTGTTTTTCTTCTCCGCGTTTCTCATAAATCTCCTGCTTGGAATTCTCTTTCTTTTGGGGTCAAATATTGCGATTGTCTGTGACGATTTACCTGATTATAAGTTCCTTCAAAAGGTCAGCCCATCCTCGATTGACTATGTTACTGTCTCATATATTACCCATAGCAAGAAAGTAGTTGTTGCTATAGAGATAAGTAAACGTTGCATTGGAAGCAAAGAAAGTATGTAATTGATAGAGGATATTACATGGCCGCTGCGCTCACTCGTGAGATATTTTTTCAACACGAGAAGAGAAATTTCGTATCTCCAAGCGGCCATGTAATGTTCTACTTATTACATAAACACCAATGAACTGCTAAACCATTTCACTTTAACAGTTTTTTGGTGTGAAAGGGGCGATCTATTATGTAGCCATAGCAACGGTGATATTTTCACATGTGAAGGTAACATGTTATTTTCACACGTGAAGATATCAAGTTTTCGCGCTAAAGCTCACCTGGTATTTCATTGGTGTTTATTTAATAAATAGTTATAATACCAGATTATCTAGCTAAATGACTTATGCTTTTCCGAAAGCCAGGACAACTTATGGAATCGTCAACATAGGATTTCAGTGTGCTTTAATCTGGAATGACATGACTGATGACATAGAGCTTCTTCCTCTCAAACATTTTCAGAAAAATCTAAAACTAATTCTTCTTAAAAACCACTGAAAATTGTAATATTTAACACCATGATTTTTCTGGCCTTCCGTCGTTTTGACATTGATATCCTTAGCTTTTTTTGTTTTCTTCATTTTGTGTCCCTCTACAGTATTAGTTGTTTGGACATTGTTGTCAAATTGACTTATAATGGGATGGTACGTGGATGTGAGTGTCAAATGAAAAACTAATATCAAGCTTTGTGCTTCCTGATCGTTTTAGCATTGATGGCAGCTTTGAAGCTTCTTTCTAGCCTTTGTCTTTCCTGGAACTTTGTGAAACCAGACTTGCCATGCTGGCTGCTGTTGCTGCTGCTGGTTCAATTAAAAGGAACCTCTTGTAGATTAAACCAGACTTGCATCCGGGCTTACCCGGGAGGTCACTTAATTAATTGCTTTTTTTTTCAGACCATAGATGACCCCAAAATAATGGGAGAGTATATATTGTCTAAAGCGCTATTCAAAGATGGAAATATTCCGTTGACTACGTCTGGAATCCTTAGGTACGTTTTCCTTTTTTTAAAACAGCTTTACAGTGATCTTCGTGTGACCGTGCTTAGGTGTAGTTGCATTCAATCAAACCTCTTCTAACGGAAACGTTTCCCATACTTCCCATACGACTGTCAATTAAAGGAAAAAAAGTAAAACTTCATAGTTATACAGGACTGAAAATACCTTTTCTTTCAAGAAAGGATGTGTGTCCGATATATCTGACCATTGTAGTGGGAAAGACCCGAAAAGACCCGCATCTGTTTGTCTGACGCATTAGGTTACGCTCCATCTTCATTTCATGTCGCACGCAAATTACGTCGTTTTTTCGACGCAACAGGTGACACTTCACCATCATGTCATGTAGCACTCCGATGACCACAACTACCACTTTTTGCAAAAATTTTTTTTTCAGTAGAAAAGAATAAATTGATAAAATGACAAACAGCGACTAGAGCGTAATAGATTCTCATTGTTTGCCAACTGAATCACACAGTGTTTTGTCTGGTTTTCAGAATTATCGCTTTTCTTACTGACGGACATTATGGACATACGACATGACTGCATAGTGTTACAGTTTCCTATAGTAACTGTAAACACAAGAAATTCGGAAAGCTGAAATAATGCAGGCAGTAAACTCTGTCCCTTTAATTGTTGCCGCAAATTTTGATTGTTAGTTCCCCTTGAGGCAGTTGAAAAAACGCTTTCAGTCATGCTGTAGCTGTGTTCTTTTTATCGTTCTAGTGATTGCTCTAAAAACGATGCTCCATGGGATGCTTTTAAGATGGATAATCTGTACAATCTTTCAGATGTGCTAAGTTACAAAGATGTAAGTCATTGTTTACAGCTCTTTCGAGAAAAGTTGTCAGAAAAAATGTGCACGCGACAATCCTGAAAGCTAATTTGGGATATGTTCAATACACTGTTCCCAACGACTGTAGCTGTCGAACCTACTTTTGCTACTTTCCTTTAGCACCCGCAAACATATGTCCGTGGCCTCCCATGCCATTCTTTCAAATGTCTCTAAGAAAAGTGCACTCAAAACCACCCATAATGCCTTTCGGGATTGTCGCGTGCACTTCTTCCGACCAGCTTTCTACGCCTAGCTTGTCAGTTCACGCGGGAGCAAGGGCAACATGTTGAGCGGTGTTTACATGAGAAAAACTGGCAACGGCTTATACCAGAGTAACGGGTTGTTTACACGAGAATTTCCCTCCGGTGCGAAATCTCGCAACGCCACTCGTGTAAACGAATACAGAGGCATGAGGGGATCGAAGTGAACACGCATCCAGTGATATGGGCGCCCTTGCATCAAGTAAATATCCTCGTTAAAAAAGAAAATGCTATGCTATGGCTTTGGTCATGTGGATTATTTTCAGTTCTTTTTATTTTCAGAAAATTCCAGGAATAGATAAAGTGTTTGCGGAACTAAACAGCACAATCACCGACACCAATGTTTTGTCTGGAGAAGCTAAGACAACAGTCAATGATTCTTTGAATGCTGGGGTCCATGAAATTAACTACACTCAGTTCGAAGAACAGGTCAGGTCATCTTGATCTTTTAAACTACGTGCAAACGGACGCAACAACTCCTAACATTGTTTGTTGGGCCAACATTGCTTGGAGTTGCGTCCGTATTGGCAGTGGTGTGCAAACAGATGTAGCAACTCCCAACACTGTTGGGACATGCGGTGCATCGTGGGAAGGATACAACCTATAAGACTTTGGAGACCATGTGTAATGCGCGTGCGTAGTCCCAACAATGCCGACAAAGTTTGAAGACCTGTGCAAACAGATCCAACATTGTTGCGCTGCTCTTCGGTAATTACGGAACAAAAGAAATGTTGGGAGTTGTTAGCCCAAAAATTTGACCGGTTTCAAACTTTGCGCAACAACTCCCAACAACACACAACAAAATGCACCAGGCTATGCAAACGGACGCAACTTGTAACATCCAACCGTGTTATATTCTTAGACTTACACTCAACTAAACAGGGACTGCTATTGGTTGATTCTTGGTCACATGGCCTTGAATAAAATAAAATGTATCCCGATCGTGATACATCTGAGCAATTGTACCCCGCTCGGGATACATTACGATGAACATTAAAGCATGGTAGAAAGTGGCGTGACAGAAGGAGGGAAAAACACTCCCAGTTTTCTTTTTCGTGAATGAACGCAACAACACAAACATGAAGCCTCAACCTATATATAAGAAAACTAACTGTTTCCCTCGGGACCTGACATTAAGTGTATAATGTTGCGTCCGTTTGTACAGGGCTTTAGCCCCAGCGGTAATGATCATCAATTTCCAATGACAAGTACAAGTACAAGTACAAGTAACTTAAAAAATGCTTAATACGGTCTTGAAGCCGTAAGTGATTAGAAACTGGGGCCTGCTTCTCGAAAATCCAGTTAACTTTTCTAAAGGATAACAGCGCGGGTTTTCGATTACAAACTGGTCCATTTGGTTTTGTTAAGGGATAGTTTTGTCCTACTATCTGCAAATTGAACTGTTGAAACCATGATCTTGAATGGTAACAGAACAGTTTTCCGTGTCTGTTAATTTCTCGAGAAATGGAGCCCTGGTTGCTCAAGAGATTTTCTCTTGATACTTTTAGACACTTACCTTTACTTTTTACTGTTAAAACATACTTTGATGACTTGGTTACCAGAGTCTTTTTGGTAATTGTACGGTGTATTGTGCGTTTTTAAAGTAAAATTTGAATTCCGCTATGCCCAAGGAAAAGCGAAAAGTATGTTTAACCTTCAAGCTCTTTCATTTTGCTATCCAAACTCCCTTCAATTTATTTTGACCCGTAAAGAACTCAGCACGTATGGCATTTGGCGAAGTATGACTGTTGAAGTCTCACGCTTTTTTTTTTAGTGTTCCAGCAATGTTCCGAAAAACACCCTTGCACATAGTGACAGATGCAATGACACATTTTTTCCACAGGTCAACAAACCCATTGTCAAAGTTTCGTTACAGGAATTTGTATCAAACCTTACTAAGGCAGCTAAAGAGATGAAAACTGTTAGTCAGGTAAAGTCCACTTGTGTTCAGTATGATATTCTGGTAAATTGCATACTCACCCCTCCCCTGACCCAACCGTAAAACTTACTTCTCACTTGGGGGAAAACGTTGGGTTTAGGGAGGGGTAGGTGGTACTGACTAGTAAGTTCATAAAGCTACTTTAATTTAAATCTTTTATTCAGACAACCAGATCAAGGATTTGTGTGTACGTTTTGTTGCAGCAAGCAAGTGATCTCTTGAGTAAAACTGCGAGCAGACTTCAGCATTTAGACACGAACAGGAGCAACTGTACAGACTGGGGCGGAAGGCTTATGATTGGGTAAGTGTCTCGTTTATTGCTGAAAGATTTGAACTCAGGAGTCAGTTCAGGTGGAATATGATCGCCCGGGTGTGCGTAGTCCTGAATAGGACTGTTGTTGAGAGTACCTGACGTTTCGACAACCTGTGCAGTAGTCATCGTCAAGGTGATACAACTCACTTTGACTCTGAAGATGACTAACGAACAGGTTGTCGAAACATCAGTCATTGTCAACGACAGTCCTATTCAGGACTACGTTCACCCGGGCGATCACATTCCACTTACGTAGGTCTTGTTAGAACCTACACACTTCTCAAGATACTGAAAGGAAGGTCAAACTACGTGTGCATGTACTATTTATCCTGGAATAAAGGTTCTTCAACTTGATTTGACCGAAGATTAATTTTTATTCTTTCAGAGCTGCTGGACTGTTTTTCTTCTCCGCGTTTCTCATAAATCTCCTGCTTGGAATTCTGTTTCTTTTGGGGTCAAATATTGCGATTGTCTGTGACGATTTACCTGATTATAAGTTCCTTCAAAAGGTCAGCCCATCCTCCATTGACTATGTTACTGTCTCATATATTACCCATAGCAAGAAAGCATTTGTTACTATAGAGATAAGTAAGCGTTGCATTTCAAGCAAAGAAAGTATGTAATTGATAGAGGATATTACATGGCCGCGCGGAGATACGAAATTTCTCTTCGAGTGTTGAAAAATATTTCACGAGTGAGCGCAGCGAACGAGTTAAAATATTTTTTCAACACGAGAAGAGAAATTTCGTATCTCCAAGCGGCCATGTAATGTTCTATTTATTATATAAACACCAATAAACTACCAAACCATTTCACTTTAACAGTTTTTTGGTGTGAAAGGCGCGATCTATTATGTAGCCATAGCAACGGTGATATTTTCACATGTGAAGGTAACATGTTATTTCCACACGTGAAAATATCATGTTTTCGCGCGAAAGCTCACCTGGTATTTGACTGGTGTTTATATAATAAATAGTTATAATACCAGATTATATAGTTAAATAACTTATGCTTTTCCGAAAGTCAGGACAACTTATGGAATCGTCAACATAGGATTTCAGTGTGCTTTAATCTGGAATGATATGACTGATGACATAGAGTTTCTTCCTGTCAAACATTTTGAGAAAAATCTAAACCTAATTCTTCTTAAAAACTATTGAAAATTGTAATATTTAACACCATGATTTTTCTGGCCTTCCGTTGTTTTGACATTGATATCCTTAGCTTTTTTTGTTTTCTTCATTTGGTGTCCCTCTTTAGTATTAGTTGTTTGGACATTGTTGTCAAATAGACTTATAATGGGATGGTACGTGGATGTGAGTGTCAAATGAAAAAGTAATATCAAGCTTTGTGCTTCCTGATCGTTTTAGCATTGGTGGCAGCTTTGAAGCTTTTTTCTAGCCTTTGTCGTCCCTGGAACTTAGTGAAACCAGACTTACCATGCTGGCTGCTGTTGCTGCTGCTGGTTCAATTAAAAGGAACCTCTTGTAGATTAAACCAGACTTGCACCCGGGCTTACCCGGGAGGTCACTTAATTAATTGCTTTTTTTCAGACCATAGATGACCCCAAAATAATGGGAGAGTATATATTGTCTAAAGCGTTATTCAAAGATGGAAATATTCCGTTGACTACGTCTGGAATCCTTAGGTACGTTTTCCTTTTTTTAAAACAGCTTTATAGTGATCTTCGTGTGACCGTGCTTAGGTGAAGTTGCATTCAATCAAACCTCTTCTAACGGAAACGTTCCTCATACTTCCCATACGACTGTCAATTAAAGAAAAAAAAGTAAAACCTCATAGTTATACAGGACTGAAAATACTTTTTATTTCAAGAAAGGATGTGTGTCCGATATATCTGACCATTGTAGTGGGAAAAACTCGAAAAGACCCGGATCTATTTATCTGACGCATTAAGTTACGCTTCATCTTCATTTCATGTCGCAAGCAGATTACGTCGTTTTTTCGACGCAACAGGTGACACTTCACCATCATGTCATGTAGCACTCCGATGACCACAGCTAACACTGTTTGCAAAATTTTTTTTTCAGTAGAAAAGAATAAATTGATAAAATGACAAGCAGCGACTAGAGCGTAATAGATTCTCATTGTTTGCGAACTGAATCATACAGTGTTTTGTCTGGTTTTCAGAATTATCGCTTTTCTTACTGACGGACACTATGGACATACGACATGACTGCATGATGTTACATTTTCCTATGGTAACTGTAAACACAAAAAATTCGGAAAGCTGAAATAATGCAGGCAATAAGCTCTGTCCCTTTAATTGTTGCCGCAAATTTTGACTGTTGGTTCCCCCTGAGGCAGTTAAAAACGCTTTCAGTCGTGCGGTAGCTGTGTTCTTTTTATCGTTCTAGTGATTGCTCTAAAAACGATGCTCCATGGGATGCTTTTAAGATGGATAATCTGTACAATCTTTCAGATGTGTTAAGTTACAAAGATGTAAGTCATTGTTTACAGCTCTTTCGAGAAAAGTTGTCAGAAAAAATGTGCACGCGACGATCCTGAAAGCTAATCTGGGATCTGTTCAATACACTGTTCCCAACGACTGTAGCTGTCGAACCTACTTTTGCTGCTTTCCTTTAGCACCCTCAAACATATGTCCGTGGCCTCCCATGCCATTCTTTCAAATATCTCTAAGAAAAGTGCACTCAAAACCACCCATAATGCCTTTCGGGATTGTCGCGTGCACTTCTTCCGACCAGCTTTCTACGCCTAGCTTGTCAGTCCACGCGGGAGCAAGGGCAACATGTTGAGCGGTGTTTACATGAGAAAAACTGGCAACGGCTTATACCGGAGTAACGGGTTGTTTACACGAGAATTTCCCTCCGGTGCGAAATCTCGCAACGCCACTCGTGTAAACGAATACAGAGGCATGAGGGGATCGAAGTGAACACCCATCCAGTGATATGGCCGCCCTTTCATCAAGTAAATATCCTCGTTTAAAAAGAAAATGCTATGCTATAGCTTTGGTCATGTGAATTATTTTCAGTTCTTTTTATTTTCAGAAAATTCCAGGAATAGATAAAGTGTTTGCGGAACTAAACAGCACAATCACCGACACCAATGTTTTGTCTGGAGAAGCTAAGACAACAGTCAATGATTCTCTGAATGCTGGGGTCCATGAAATTAACTACACTCAGTTCGAAGAACAGGTCAGGTCATCTTGATCTTTTAAACTACGTGCAAACGGACGCAACAACTCCTAACATTGTTTGTTGGGCCCACAATGCTTGGAGTTGCGTCCGTATTGGCAGTGGTGTGCAAACAGATGTAGCAACTCCCAACACTGTCGGGACATGCGGTGCGTTGTGGGAAGGATACAACCTATACGACTTTGGAGACCATGTGTTATGCGCGTGGGTGGTCCCAACAATGCCGACAATGTTTGAAGAACTGTGCAAACGGATCCAACAATGTCGCGCTGCGCTTCGGTGATTACGGAACAAAGGAAATGTTGGGAGTTGTTAGCCCAAAAATTTGACCGGTTTCAAACTTTGCGCAACAACTCCCAAAAACACACAACAACATGCACCAGGGTATGCAAACGGACGCAACTTGTGACATGCAACAGTGTTATATTCCTAGACTTTCACTCAACTAAACAGGGACTGCCATTTGTTGATTCTTGGTCACATGGCCTTGAGTAAAGTAAAATGTATCCCGATCGTGATACATCTGAGCAATTGTACCCCGCTCGGGATACATTACAGTACACTGAAGATCAAAGTATGGTAGAAAGTGGCGTGACAGAAGGCGGGAAAAACACTCCCAGNCCAAAAATTTGACCGGTTTCAAACTTTGCGCAACAACTCCCAAAAACACACAACAACATGCACCAGGGTATGCAAACGGACGCAACTTGTGACATGCAACAGTGTTATATTCCTAGACTTTCACTCAACTAAACAGGGACTGCCATTTGTTGATTCTTGGTCACATGGCCTTGAGTAAAGTAAAATGTATCCCGATCGTGATACATCTGAGCAATTGTACCCCGCTCGGGATACATTACAGTACACTGAAGATCAAAGTATGGTAGAAAGTGGCGTGACAGAAGGCGGGAAAAACACTCCCAGTTTTCTTTTTCGTGAATGAACACAGCAACACAAACATGAAGCCTCAACCTAAATAAAAAAACTGTTTCCCTCGGGACCCGACATTAAGTGTATAATGTTGCGTCTGTTTGTACAGGGCTTTCGCCCTAGCGGTAATAATCATCAATTTCCATTGACAAGTACAAGTACAAGTACAAGTACAAGTACAAGTACAAGTACAAGTACAAGTACAAGTAACTTATGCTTAATACGGTCTTGAAGCCGTAAGTGATTAGGAACTGGGGCCTGCTTCTCGAAAATCTAGTTATAGTCAGTTGGTTAGTCTAGTTAGTCTAGTGTATTGTGCGTTTTTAAAGTAGAATTTGAATTCCGCTATGCCCAAGGAAAAGCGAAAAGTATGTTTAACCTTAAAGCTCTTTCATTTTGCTATCCAAACTCCCTTGTTCAATTTATTTTGACCCGTAACGAACTCAGCACGTATGACATTTGGCGAAGTATGACTGTTGTAGTCTCACGCCTTTTTTCGAGTGTTCCAGCAATGTTCCGAAAAACACCCTTGAGCACAGTGACAGATGCAGTGACACATCTCTTCCACAGGTCAACAAACCCATTGTCAAAGTTTCGTTACAGGAGTTTGTATCAAACCTTACTAAGGCAGCTAAAGAAATGGAAACTGTTAGTCAGGTAAAGTCCACTTGTGTTCAGTATCATATTCTGGTAAACTGCATACTTACCCCTTCCCTGACCCAACCGTAAAACTTACTTCTCACTTGGGGGAAAACGTTGGGTTTAGGGAGGGGTAGGTGGTACTGACTAGTACGTTCATAAAGCTACTTTAATTTAAATCTTTTATTCAGACAACCAGATCAAGGATTTGTGTGTACGTTTTGTTGCAGCAAGCAAGTGATCTCTTGAGTAAAACTGCGAGCAGACTTCAGCATTTAGACACGACGGAGGTCAACCCAGCCAAACAGCAAGCCGTAAGTATTGCGCGTGAGGAGGAGGTTTTTAGTGCAACTGCGGATCAGTACACCTACATACGTTACCTACCCTTTCCTAACCCAAAAGTCTTCTGGAAATGAGAAGGTAGTGTTAAGTATTGTTATAGAGATTGTTGGGCATTGTAGTAGTAAAGTACTCTTTCTAATGCAAAGCGAAATCAACGTCACAGAAAACGGCGTTTTATCTAAGAATGAAAATGGTTTTTGTTTTCCAGACTAAAGCATAGTGAGTCTCTATAATTTTTTTTTCTTTTATGGGAGGGGGACAAGATATTTGCATGGATTCTGTTTTAATATGTTTTGCGAAAGGGAATATCCAACGCATTCTTTTTGTGATCAAGAAGAAGAAAACCATCGACTTGTACTGAATGGAAAGGGCTCTTTCGTGGCTAACGTGGAATACGTAAAGCCCTTTCTTTGTCCTAGAATCCGATTTTAATGATAAAAGTTTGTCCTTTGTTTCAGAAAAGTCTGGGTCAACTTACCAGGCAGCTCAAAGAACAGGGGAATGTTATAGTGGTAAGGCAATACGCTTTTTTTTTCTTTTGCTAAACGGCTGTATTAAATTGCGTTGAAGAGATTTTAACGGAAAATATTGATTATTAGGTTTTTTTCATGGCACCGCCAGTCGGCAAATGTGAAATATTTTTAAGGGCGAATGTTACGAACAAATGTAACAGTGATTTTTGGCCATGTTTTAGTTTTGTTTAGAGTGGTTTTCGTTTGAGTGTCGTAAAACCAAAACCAAAGTAATTACTCTGGCCAATCACATAGGACACAGACAAGACATTGAACCAATCAAAACTCGAAGTAATTACATGTGGCTGACGCAAAGCGCGGGAAAATGCATGCGAGCGCGTCACAATTGACTTTGGTTTTACTTCTGATTGGATGAAAAGGTGGCGCGAATCTTTTAAGCCAATCGTATCGTGTAGAAAGTGCAAAACCAATTACTTTTCGACACTCAAATGAAAACCGCTCTAAGGTCAAGTGGGACTCTCTCACGGCAAGAGAAAAATGGCTGAAAGGAGAGAGAGACTTCTGCCGGCCTCCAATGTGTTTTCTATCACGTACGCACCGTTGTTTCCTCAACAGCTGGTGACATTTTAGTCACGTGCGACACAACTTACAGAACAGGTTTGCGCGATAACAACTGTCCGAGGGCTCAGAAATTTCTAGCGTGCAGTCTCGACATGGCACGCGCATTCCACGTTGAACGAAACCGGTTTGCAAAACATTTAAGTAAGTTTCAGCCACAAATGTGGTTGGTGGCTACATAAAAGAACGCGCCAGAGACCGGCAGTGGTCTCTCTTTTTCTTCTTCTCCTGTCGTTAGAGATCTCTGCTAGCCTACATGTAGCAGCACCCTTCAAGGGGGGAAGCATATTCTGTTAGAGGTATTTATCCTTTACCATTCCAATGTTTGGCTCCTAGGATTCTGCACAACGAGTGGTGGAAGATGGAAATAAAGTGGCACATTTTTTTAAAAATGACGCATTAGCCATTGCTGCTAGAGTAAGTGTTTGTAATTATCGCTAATCAACAATTATTGGATGATAATTTCACAAGTGAAGATTTCGCCGTTGCTTTAAATCTTAATAACCTGTGTCTTTCGCTGAAAAAAAAAAAATCTGAAATAGTTTGCTATTTCAGTGGTGAAACACCAAACTCTGCGCTTACTCGTGAATATTATTCATTAATCGAAAAGAAATTTTGTATCTCCGCGCGGCTAGTGGTATCCTCGATGTAATCTGGTAATGCATTACATTAGCGAACAAGCGAACAAGAACTTGAAACAAACACTCAAGTACAAATCAACTTGCCTGCAACATTTAAAAGCCGTCAACCTTTTTCCCGCAGCTTCAAAGAAAGTCACTAAACACAGCCCGCAAAGTTGTCTCTCGTTTTTTGAAGATCGCCAAAAATCATTTAATATAAAGTCCTTATGTACACTCTTTGTTTTCTATAAGAGTATATTTTCTAAGAATATCTTGGCTGAAATTTGCAAAATTTTAAGAATATTTTAAGAATAAACCTGAGGCTGAGATTTCGAAAAGGGTGATTATTTTGAGTGATGAAAATCTAAAAAATATGTTTTTAACTTAACCGTATCAAATTATTACTTCCTCCCACGGCAAAACTACCCAGCAAAACGAAGAAACCAGCATTGATTATAGCCAAATGTTCAGTCCCATGAACGGTACATGAAATACCTATCATTCTCTAGTATACTGCCAAAAAAAAAAAAGAAAAGAAAAATGAACAAACCGCAAAAAGGATATAATAAATTCTTTATTTTTCAATTATACTACTACACGAGAAATTTTTGCAATTTGATTGGCTTAGATCAGTGGTATTTCAGCTTAATTTGAAATACCTACGTGTAAAAATTACAAACCTTTTGTGGGTAGTTGTTGTGGTATTTCAAAATTGTCTCAAATTTCACTCGCCTAACGGCTCGTGAACTTTCGTATTAATAACAATTGTGAAATATCACTCGTGGTATTTATGCCAAATATCATTACAAATCATGCTATTACCTATACTAGTTCAAGAATAATACAAGAATATTTTCAGGCTAAAATAGGCCTGGCCCGAAAAAACAATATTCTTATATATAATTAAGAGTGTATACTTTACCTGATTCTGCCAGTTTATTTTCTTTTTGACTCATGTTTAAACGTCGGAATAATTGATTGTAAATTAGCTAACTTATTATCCACTTGTTTTGATTTCTGCTTTCTTAGGGTGTTACGAAGCACTGGAACACTGTTTTTGGCGATGTGGATTATTTCTTAGCCTTTGCTATAAATCAGGTGAACACTTAATTCGGTGTCAACTTTACCTGGGGAGCGGAAAGTACTTTATATGAGTGTCAATGTATTGAGCATTAAAGTACTACTTGAAGACACCATTTTAACGCCTCCTTCCGGAGATGGGACCATTATTTTATCAATTGTTCATGTAGGGGTGTAACGATTCGTATTCCTTGCGGTTCGATTCGATTTCGATTTCGATTATTTCGATTGATTATGTAAATGTTTCATAATTCTTATAACACAACGCGTAATGTACACAAGATGCAACCCTAAACCCTCAATTTGAGAATAGTAGCAGGGAAAGGAGGATTCACAGTCGCTTGGTTCGTCGCCATGTTTGAGAACCTGACAAAGAGCGTGTCGTACATAGTTTGCCTTATTTGGAAATCCTCAAGGGGTGGTTGATAGACAGCATTTTTACCAGGCAACACAAAATGGCGCACGAAATGCTATCGTCTTAGCTCGTGAATCATAAAAGCGTAATTTAAAGCGTTCTGGATTCCGATTTTACAATCTAATAACTCACTAAGGGCGGCCTGGAAAAGGTGTGCTTATTAGCTTGGTTTAAGCTTTGTACCTTCGTTTGTTAGCACTTAGCTTGGCTTGCCAGTATTAGCGCTAATTAGCTCTTAAGCTAATTAGCAATGTGGTGATACATGTACCAGTAGGCTCGGTGCACTTCAACCGTTTGCAGGGAAAAGGCAGTACCCTCATTTCTCAGTTATTTTAAGACCCTGAGTATTGGTTCCGGTCCCGGAAATCGAACCCTCGACCCCCTCCCGACACATTCAGTTTTCAAATGCCGACCTCATTGATGATTTAAAAGCCGGATTCGATATCCAACCACGGTTGAGCCGGGTTTTTATCTGATATAGACAAATTTTGGGTCGGTGACCGACTGTTATTTGCAGACTTGGTTACTGATATTAACGAAGTTTCTTGTACAAGGTAAAACGCACTAGGCCTTACCTTTACTCGTTCACAAGCGCTCTGTATATGATTGTAAAACTTGTCAATAGACCTCTTTAGACTTGTAGGTTTTCTGTTTCCAATTTAGGTATTATTGAGTTCTCTTTCGACCTGTTTCTGCCCAACTTAAGTATATGCATACGGCAATGTGCCTATAAGGCCCTGTCCACGTTGTTGTCATCGAAAACGCATCGATTGATTCGCGTCCACACTACCGTTTTTTTGTGTGTTTTCGACTGTCCACACTAATACGATATGTATGCGTTTTCGTTTTGATCCGTTTTCAAGAGCGTTTTAAAATCTGTGTGTTTTCAATGAAAACGCTCAGCGTATTAGTGTGGACGGATGGCCTAAGCGTATCGAAATGCATGCGTTTTCAAAGGAAAAAGCATTAGGGTGGACGGAGCCTAAATTATGAAAAGAAAAAAGAAAAATCCTATGTGGACATTGCAAGACCTGCATTGGGAACTAACAACCATACAAGTTAATAAAGAGGCCCCCATTCACGAGTAATCAGAAGCCAATGTCATCGTGAAAAAGGCCAGTCTTTTTGAAGATGTATTGATGCAATCATTTACATGAAGGGTCCAGTAGAATAAATTTGAACAAAGTACTCACAATGCATCTCCTATACTTATTCTAATCCCCCCTATAGATAGTTTAATTTGGTAGTCTACTGTCCCTATAGTCACCCGTCCCTTGGCTAATACCAAGAAACAGCCAACCATAACTTCAACTACCATTTAGTTTCTGGGAAAACAAAAACCCTGTGTGGTTATGTCGTTGGGGGCGTGGGATTGGTGGGGTGAAATGCAAAGATTAGAAAAATGTTAAATTTCATGGGCCGTTGCATGTTTTTTTTATAGGTCAAGTTTGACGTCGGCCGATGTAAACCTCTGTCCAGCATATATCATGGGCTCACTAACACAGTGTGCCATCACTATACGGCAGGATTGGTAAGAATCAGTGCACTGTGTTGGTAGAACATTCATGGAACCATTGACTGAAGACAGAATGTTAATGAATAAAAAGCAAGAATCGTTCCCTCTTAAAGGAAATGCAATCTTTGACCATGGTTTATTTGCAATTTATTCGGGGCTGGAAGGAGGAAGATGCGGAGTGAGGAGGGAAGGGGGGGGGGGGGGGGGGGTGTTTTTTGGATTGGTTTTTTGGGGGGGCACAGGTTTCTTTGTCATTAAAAAAGATTCGGCACCTTTTAGTAGCTTTTTTTGTACCCGGAACTCTTATTCTTGTTTTTTCTTTTTTGTTTAACGACATGCACNAGAATGCTTCTTGGGTAGCATTTGGTCTGTGTGCTCTTGTTCTTCTGATCTCCATCATTCTTTGTGTAAGGGCCTCAAAGCATTTTCGCCGGACAAGAACGATCAGTGGAAACGAAGACGATCCAGGTGAGGCGTTAATCCTGTTTCAACTATGAATTGTCTTTTTCCGAGATCCAAAACCTTTCACTTCCAAAACGAGGCTTATTGCAAATCCTTTCTTATAAACGTGAGTTTTTATATTGCTATACATGAGAATAAAAACTGATTTTCATGTCAATAGCTTCGCACTTATCTTCACAGTTTGAAACTGAGGCTTAAGGCATAGCCTATGTACGCCATTTATAGATTAACAAATTTACACCGCAACCGCCCGTTAGTGCCCCTGTGGAACCACCTTGTTCCACTTTTGACGTCATCAATTTTAAAGGTCATAGACAACTTTAGGCCTCACTTGTGCAGAGGAATGAGATGTTTCAAACAGGACGGATAAAAAACGTTGAAAAAAAATGTAACTTTTACTAGCCAGTGAAAATTCTGTTCCAATATCAACCTGTACTTCTTTCAAAATAATAAACCATCTTAAAATGAGGGAAGAAAAGGAAAAGAAGCGGGAAAGCGAAGCTCCGCCTGGTTGACCGTAACTTGCAAACGTCCAATCAAATTTTGCCAAGAAACGGAAGACGAAAGCGTGTCATGCCCCTAGGTAACCCGCAGTTTCATTTCTTTGCCTTAAGAGTGATCTAGACTCTAACCGCACCGTTCAGTTAATGTCTAGTCGGTGTTTTACTGCGTCAAAACGTTTTAAAACATTTGGCTGAGTTGCTTTTTTCAGGAATTTCGATATCCCATCTCGCAAGATTTACTCTAGTCAGTTTATTTAACTCCTTTACCAGGTCTTGAACCGTCTGTCTTGACTGGGTGTCTTTTTTAGAAAATGTGTCCTCAAGGCGGGTGTTGACTGTAGATATTTTTATTTTACCTTTTTTGCTGCGTTGTTAGTGAAGCGACCTTCCAAGGGAGTGTCCAAATACATCGAATTCAACCCAGGTTAAATGCCATGGTTCGTTCAGCATTGTGATTTTCTGAGACTGACTTCAAGAACTAATCTGGATAATCACTTTGTTTTTTCAGCACCCGCTGGAGAAATAGAAATGCCCTGGATGGACAGTGCTGCTGACAAGCAAAACTTAATTCACACTTAAACTTTTTCGTGCCGATAATTCTGTAGGTTAAACCGTGGAAAAAATCTCAAATTTCATTCATCACAAGGAAGGAGAGTTTGGAAACACCTTGATTAAAATGGATCAGTTTTATGATTTCAAGAACAATACTACAGTGCTTACTGTTAATAGTGAATTCTAAGTTCTAATCAGCTTTTTTTGCCGTTCTTAAGGGTCAGACTCATGAACCAAATAGAAATTGATTCATGTGTGATTCGAGGAAAACGGATTTAAAGGTTTTGATAGATTCGACCTCTTCGCGATAAAAATTTATTGGAAATACTCTCGTGATATTGTAAAATTAATAACAACTAAACAAGAAAAAGGGAAAAAAACACCCGGCTTTCGGACACAATCTCTCTAACTCACACCCAGTTAACAAAAGACTGTTCACAATAAGAGCGATTTCACATGATGTCACGGCTATCATATCGGTATTCCGAAACAATGAAACATAGGCCCATTTGGTGTACCAATAAAATCTTCTGGAGTTGAACTCTTTTCTTATTTACACGCTTTCTGTTGTTCCAGAAAGTTAACATAGATGATGGCCACGCGAGTGAAAACGCTCTATACCCTATATTTTTATTGTGGAGATCGAGCGCTTTATTAGGGAGCTTAAGCAACTACGACGACGACCACAACGACAACTTCAAAAAAACAATAGGTTTAATGATCAAAACAACAGCTCTGCACGTGCATCACGCTTTTTAGTACATTTCTTTGACGTCCACTGAGCGACTAAGACGTGAAGCCTCCTAATTTGAAGTTTTATAGAGGACGTGGACATACGACGACGAATTTTCCTTTATCTTTTCGAACCTGAATAAAATCCTTAAGAATTCTACTCCAGGAAAAGTCGCCCGCATTTGACATATTGAGCGGGTCCAAATACACGAGATTAAGTTTGAAAGAACGCAAATTCATTTTTTTACCGACGTTTTCACTGCCGTCGTCGTCGTCCTTGCTTAAGGGTCCCTATTACTTAAATTGGTGGTCATCAGCACATGTACCGATCAAGGAGGCGTGCGTCGGGATTTGTAGTTTAAGGTTATGTTTGGTATATTTAAAGCCAAGATGGCGTCCGTGATATCGAGCGCTCGATCTTGACGATGTTACGGTAAATAAGTGGCCTGTTTATAAACAGTCTTAGTCAATATGGACACAAGTCTAGTATCGAGAAACAACGACTGAAAAAAGAATTTCTCAGAGAAATGTTTTTGGAGTCTCTATTGCGAATACATGGTTGTGGTCCTGAAGGTGTCTGTTATGGCACGAGTTGACTGCAAGTATTTAAAATATGTGTGGGAGAGAAAAATGTAATTTCTGTCGTTTGACTGAGCAACATGGAGCTGACACGGAAGATGGAGTTGGGTGTTAAAATTTCAAAGCCAATTTTTAAGCTGGCAAACAAATTCGTCTTCCTATGTTCATGTCCTCCATAAAACGTCACATGAGAAAGTTTCATGTGATAGTCGAATAAGAAAGGCAAAGAAATATACTGACAAGTGTGATGCACGAGCGGAATTGCAGTCCACGTTTGCGTAATCTCCCTATTGTACAATAGTGAGAAAATATTGGCAGAACAAGAACGTTATATAATACAATGACGTCAGTTTTTAATCAGTTATAGTAAATAATAGAAGAGGTAGATAGAAAAAAGATGTCAAGTTTCATTGCACGGTAGAAATAAAATGAAAAGTCTTTCTGGAGTTTTCAGTGAGTTAATTCTAACCTATAAGTGATGAGACACTATTTTAAAACAGTATTTGAGGCTTTGTTTAAGTTTGCTTTCGTTCCTCTTTTTTGGGTTACCATGGCTCATTATTGGTTTCTTGGGGACAAAAACACATAAGTTCACTATTCTCGGGGTTCCCATCACGATCAATCACGATATCCACGTTATTTCCCTGGAACAACTCGAATTTCGCGCGAAAAAGGGCTTTATGAGTACGGGAAGCCGATGTTCTAAGGTGCTGATCAATGTTCTTTCGTTCTTAGCATTGATGCACATTTATATTCTGTCAGAGCAGCCAAATCCCAGAGCGTTCTTGACTCAGTCAATCCTGGACTCTACCGTGAGCCGTGACGTCACCGAGAGAGGTCCGCCGTCCCTTTCCCAGACTTCACGCGGACAACGAGGCAAGAGAGAACGCCCAGGGATAAGGCTGTTCTCAGAGCATAGCAACAGGACTGTGTGAAAACAAAGTAAAGAGTATTATTGTGTTGTTCTATCACAGATATATTTTACGACGATCCTTTAGAACTTGGTTGGCTGGAAGATCTAGGATTGGAGAATAATCAAGTGAACTTGGTTGGTGCCAAATCACTCAGTAAAATGTAACGTCAAAGTCAACTGAACACACCCAGGGGCCCGTTTCTCAAAAGTCCCGGTAACGTTTCTGGCCCGAAAAGCTGTTTTATGTTTGCTCTGTTCGTAGTCAAGATCAAAGTTTTAACATTTTTGAAAATAATACAATAAAACTATCAGTTAACGAAACAAATTAACTGGTTTGTGAGGCAGGCCCTGTGCTACCATTAAACAGGTTTTGATTTTAAAATTTTTCTTCGGGCCCGAAAAGTTACCGGGCTTTTCGAGAAACGGGACACTGAACATGAAAAAACAAGTTGTTGAGTAAGATTTTAGGCTCCAAATTTCGTAGGGAAGAAACTTCTGACAAGTAAGGATCAGGACTCATCATTTCATGAGACAAACGGCTGACTTAATTGTGTTTGCTTGTACGAATTCTTTCTCTCTTCCGTTTGACGCTGTTAAAACCATTACTGTCGTGTGTCGCTTGAACGTCTTTAACTATTTAGAATCAATTTACGGTAGTAACGTACACTTGCAGAGAAAATATTTTTATGAAACTATAACAGAGAAACTATTTTATTTATTATCCAAAATGAGAAGAATTAGAAATTTTCCTCATAAGCAAAATTTCCACCTCACCGATACATGACTTTTATAGCTACTCAAAAAACCCTGAAACATAGTTTTGGCAAAGTTCGTACAGCTAAGAGAATTCGTTTCTTAATTAACATTTTTAAACGTCTTGAATAGTCCTTATGCATGACCACGTCGGACGAACAAATTTCACCAGACCAAGTCTTTTAAGAACTAAAAGGGTATTTCATAGGGAATACATTAATGTAAACTTTGCAAATTTACAATTTCAAAACGTTGCTTGGTGTTGAAATTTGCTCGTGAGACGTAAACATGCATAAGGGTTATTTGATTTAGAAGCTTTTATTAATTTCTCCGTGGTGTTATTCTGCTAAAAACTGGAGCAAGTCACCTCGAATACGTTAAATAATCGGTCTAAAGGTGCAACGTATGATATTATCATTGGTCACTTTAGAAACTTAAGGGACTAGAAGTGAGTTAAAATTGCCGTGGAAACCAATCCATAGGAAGGAAGATGGACAAATGAAAGGGAATATGAGAAGAATATTATTTCTAGTATAAACTCTTGAAAATGACGGGTCTCTCTTTGACGAAAACTGTGTCCCAAATAGGCAAATGAACATTGTAACGTTCCAGCTATTCAGCTTGAAAAAACAAATTGTTCAAATCCCACTCAGAAGCTCAGCTAGCGAACCTGATAAGGGTGATTAAAGGGGTGATAGACATTTAACACTTTAATTCGGCCGATTAATTGTCTCCACCTGTTGCTAAAGTGGTCGATGGTTCTGGTGCCTTTGTGATCAAAAAAGACCCGCGATCACTTTTTTTGAATTGTAAAAAAAAAGAAAATGAAAAATGACAGGGCCGTAAAAGGATTTGATGAAAAAAGGAAGCACAAGAATTTTTATCCTCTAAGCTGATTTTTTAAGATACATTTTTTGTATTTTTTCTATTACTATTGATCAATTTTGTGACAATTTAAAAGTTTGATGAAAGAAAAATTGAGTCGATTTAGGTATGTATAGCTATATAAAGTTGTTTTCTTTTCAATAAATATTATTTTCCAAATGAGCCTTTATATTATAATGCCCTAGCAGGAGCATAAAGAGAGGCTCCTCGCTCAATCTCGTGTTACACATGAGCTATTCAACTTCACCAAGTGAAGGCACAAACACCACCATGCCAGCAGGCCTTTCTTTCACTTGCTCGATTTTGGCGCACACTTGAGAAAAGACTGCATGATTGGAGTAACATCTTTGCTGGGCATGCGCTACATATAGCTAGGATACTGTTTCAGCCGTAGGCCTAATAGCCGTGCACTTGGTATAGCGTGTACAGTTTGACCAGAGAAAACAAGGTTGACTAGTCTAGAAGTTCGGGCTGCGGCGACTTCAAAGGCTTGACGCAATTCAGGCAGAGACAAAAAGAGGCTTTGCTCGCGGGGTGCGCAAAAACCTGAAATCGTAAAATCAGTGCTAGGGCCTTTAAGAGAGGATCCTTCCACTGGTCTCATACAGACGCCCTTCGTCTGCAATGCCCGTCAGGTTGAAGCTCCACTCGAACCGAGGTTTGCCCATCCCGTCGGGCAGTGAAGGAATGGAAATGAAGTCGAATGTGGTGACGGAGTGCAGATGTTCGAAGGCTCAGTTGTTGTGCTGTGGCCGCGAAAGGGGAAAAAGTATTACTGATACCAGTCCTTAGTCTTGAGTGGAAAGAACGCATTTCCTTCTTAAATTGCCTATGTCTGAATGGGTACAGGAAGGGATTCACCAGTGAATTCAAGCTGAAACACGTGACCGGAAGCCATCCGCCAACAATAAAAAAGGAGCGCATGCTTGAGAAGGATTTAATCATATCAAGTAACACATCAGAGAATGAGTAAACGTACACTAGAAGCAATACAGTCGGGAGAGTGAATAGTATGAAATTTGAGGACACCAACGTGGCGATTTTTCTGGCTAGTCTTGCCTCGCGTTTGATGCCAAACTGTACACTTGACTTCCTTGCGTAGCAGAAGATCAACACATACAGTCCAAGACTGATCAAGTAGAAAATTACAAACATGGCGGAAATGCTGAGTGTGACGTCTGTTGTCTGCGTGATTCCTTCACCGGTGTGAAATGGCATTGTGCACTGGAACCATTTATGGTATTTTAGCCTTTTTACTCCTAGCAGAGGCAGGCTTGCAAAGATAACAGCTCCAATCCATGCGAAAGTCACAACGACGAGCATTGTCCTCTTATTTATTTTCCCTCGACATCCCTGGAAGTGCACTATGACAAGATATCTCTCCAGAGTTAACAACAGGGAGTTGATAACAGCTGTAACTTGACCAGTTGTAAAGATCATTCCAATATAACTGCAAATCTTTGGGTCATTTTCCAAAATAACTCCTAGTATAACTTCATCTAAATTGCTGAATAAGTTGTACTTGGCGATCGCTATGCAGTATACGCCAATCAGTAAGTCACTCATTGACATACTGCCAACTAAGATAAAAGAAACATTTTTCCTGAGTATCCTTGAACGCAAAATCACGGCAAGAACGACAACATTCAGCAAGATTATCAACGCACCCAGTCCATACTGAGACAAAAACAATTTTCGCGGAAGATAATATAGTTGTCGTAGAAAGGTAATTATTACCTCGTTTTTATAACAATCCGAGTGAGGATTGCAGAGACACTGTGGTGAGAAGCCTTGTTTTACAAACTGTGACGACATCCCATATTTGACCTCATCAGGGTAAAAATAAAACTCTTTAATCGTCACGTGACAAGCATCGTCGTCGCCATCGCCTTCGCCGCTCACAATTTCTCCACTTCCCATGTCCTCCTCGTCGCCTATTTCCTGGTCACTGAAAAGTAGTGGTTCATTTACATGGGTCTTAATGAGATCACACTCGAAGCAGTGCTGACTCCATGTGACTCCAAGCACCTCTTTGAGCATGGGCAATTTTAAAGTCCGCTGACTTGGTATCCAATTCTTGTTTCCGTTTACTTTGAGAACTTGGAGTGAAGGTACATCACTGGAAGGATCACCCTTCCATTTCCTTAAATTGTTGAATTGAAGATCTCTTATTTAAGAAAGAAAAATATCTGTGTTAGTAAAATACTATTCAAAGCCAAAAAAAGCATTAAAACAAAGATCAAAATAGATGACAAGGAAGCAAGCCAAACCTACACTTGTTATTTCATTTCATAACAGCTGTTTTTCAAAGACGACGAAGTTTAAACTTTATAAACGGAACGAAAGGGCGCAATACTTTTTAATCAGAGGTAACTTTATATTCTAAGTTGGAGGAGGTAGGGATATTTGGTACATTCCATTCTTAAAAAGGCCTGCTGTTGGCGACGGCGATTTTAGTCACTGAAAACCTACTCTCTGTCGTGACGCTATCCTTTCCCTTAGTTCTACCATTTAAAGAGGCCATGTTACAGTATCTATTTGCTATCCTGTTAAAAAGCTAAAAAGTGTGTTCACATCAATTGAATTCGAAGAATAACAAGAAAAGAATATGTTCAGGCACTGAACGTGTTTCCAGTAACATGTTGGTACGGATGGCAAGGATGGACATGGATTGAAACTTGAAAAATATTGGGCCATTTTTTTTCGAGTTTTAATGCTCTGCCTGCAAAAATCACCAATCATTATTTAAGCAGTAGAAAACGTTTTCCGTGTTTGCATAGCCTGATATAAACACGAGAGGGGTTGGGAGAATTCGAGACAGTCATGCAAACCCGAGACGAAGTCGAGGGTTTGCATAACTGTCAAGAATTCTCCCAACGCCTCCAGTGTTTATATCAGGCTATGCAAACACAGGAAAAAAGTTTTCTATTGCTTTTATAAAATAAATTTGCCGAGAAAAAACGCAAAACTCTTTGTATGGCACTGATTAAAAAGGAAATTCTTACCAGTCGCAAGTCTTGTCCACGAAGTCTTGCACGCGTAATTGGTTCTTGTTTTGCAAAAAGATACTTTCCAAAATACGGACTTTTCTTGCTTAAAATGTCAGCTTAGGCGAAAAAAATTGACACACTTTCATGGTAACGATTTTCCAAGTTTCAGTCGACGAAGGAATGGGTAAATAAAGTAAACTTGTCGAGTTTTGAACTTGAAAACTTTTTCAAATTCGTGCTTGCGTGATTTGCGCGCGAAAAGCAAAACATCTTGACGCCACAACCATGTTTACATACTCTCATGCAAACACTCCTCTCAGCCAATCAGAGCGCGCGTACTATCTTAGTTATTTTATAATTAAGCAATAGAAAAAGTTTTCCGTGTTTGCATAGCCTGATATAAACACGAGAGGGGTTTGGGAGAATTCGAGACAGTTATGCAAACCCGAGACGAAGTCGAGGGTTTGTATAACTGTCGAGAATTCTCCCAAACCCCTCTCGTGTTTATATCAGGCTATGCAAACACAGGAAAAAAGTTTTCTATTGCTTTTATAAAATAAATTTCCCGAGAAACTCTTTGCATGGCACTGATTAAAAGAGAAATTCTTACCAGTCGTAAAGTCTTGTCCACGAAGTCTTGCACGCGTAATCAGTTCTTGTTTTGCAAAAAGATGCTTTCCAAAATACGGACTTTTCGCCCTTAAAATGTCAGCTTAAGCGAAAAAAAATTGACACGCTTTCTTTGAAACGATTTTCCAAGTTTCAGCCGACGAAGGAATGGCTAAATAAGGTAAACTTGTCGAGTTTTGAACTTGAAAACTTTTGATTGACTTTTGATTGCGTGATTAGCGCGCGAACCGTGAAGCAACAACCATGTTTACATACTCTCATGCAAACACTCCTCTCAGCCAATCAGAGCGCGCGTACTATCTTAGTTATTTTATAATAAATTATGGTTACTGTTCCCTGATGAAATCTGTTTGGTATCCTCTCAGTCTGTTTGGTATGCTTAGCTGTGTATGTGTTAAGGCTCTAATTTATGACTTAAGCGCAGAATTCACCTAAAATAGCAATATCCCCTTGACATAGCCCCTTTAAAGTCAAGCAGCAATTGAAGAGATGTACATACTTACAATATACGAAGATGCTTCAAGCCGTGAAATGCACCTTCGTTAATTGTTTCAATGCTGTTATTTGATAAAGATCTGAAGGAAAACAACGCGTATGGTTATACTGAGAAAATCAGATTGAATGTTCTCTCGCTTTAACAGAATGATGTTACTATAAGCAATGATTTTACTTACAAGATCTCGAGATTTTCGAAATTACTGAAGACGCCACTTGGGATCTTTCTAATTCCGTTATTAGCAAGAGATCTGAAAAAAATGCAAAAAAAAAAAAAAAATCAGGTGTCGTAGAAGAATACCTGTTTGGCTTAAGTGGACGTAATGCATCTTTAGAATCATGTAAAACTAAGCCAAAATATGTGGACCATACATTGCATCTACATGACTCCAGATTGACTCAATGATTCGAAAAATGGCATTAATTTCTTATTACGGTCCCATTTGCAGTTTATTTGGAGACGATTTTTTTGTCAAAGGTTTTGAAAATCTCAAAGAACATTTTAAATTTTTCCAAACTGATGGAATAAAGGGTCAAATGCTACAACGAAGTTTGAAAAATGATGCTGGTCAAAAAAGGTTTGTGTGCCTAGCCGTTGCAATCAAACTGTTTACCACTTAGCGGATTTTTTTCCACAACGTCGTCATGCCCCGGGCTGACTTGTGTTCGTCACTGTCGTTTTAATGTCTAGACCGTGCCGTGAATCTCAAGTTTTAAAATCTTTCTATAATTATCTTAGACTTTCTCAAGCCCGTTTCCGGTTCTTCATTCGATTTTGGAGAGTGACTGACCCCGGAAACGGTTTTGTTTTGAAGTCAAGTCATCTCCGTCTTGGAGTTGAGATTATCCAGTCATACGAGAACATTTAATTTTAGTTGGCTGTCAAACAGCTGTCAAACTTACGTCAAGAACCATTTTTTTTCGCGCCAACATTATGCAAATTAAATTCAATCTTATGCAGACGGAACAAGTGGACTTACGACTTAAGTCGCTCGCATTTGCTCTCTTCGGGAGCGTCCCTCAAGCCTTCGGCGCTTTCGCAATCGACTTGTGGCAAGACTACTATTATCTATGAAAGCTCATGGGTCCTAAACTTACAACGAGTAAAGGTTTCTAGACAAGTTAAAGTCTATTGATTCATCCAAATGTGTTACAAAACATCGCCCATAAGTACGGCTGTAGTTGTCTGAGGTACACCAACAAATTGAGGAACAATGCACCCAGCTGGATAAATTTGTAATGTCCACCAGTTGATCACGTGAATGACATCTTCTGATAGTTAGGGCAGCGCAAACGAGTAAGATTGTTCTCATCCTGTGGTGGGGAAAAAGTAAACTCAAACAATAGTAAATATAGTATTTATTTAATAATTAACTTAATGGTTAGTGCAAACATGCGGGCGGGCGAACATGATGCTATACAGGTCTCTATACAGTTCTTAAAGTGCCGCTGACCACCCACACCATGACTACGTCAGCGGGCTCACATTTGTTCGCCCGCAAAAATATTGCTGTTATTTGAAAATAACAATTACGAATACTTACTAACGGCATTATCTGTTCACAGAGCTATGCATTTTTCTGGTACATTTTGGCGTTTTCTTTTTTTTTTTTTTCAGTGGCCGTATATCTACATTTAAAATACTTAGGAATTTTGATCCTATGATGTCTATTCGGTATTTGAAAGAACCAGCGAATAGATCTACTGACGAGCTTTAAAGTCAGGAAAAGTACTCGGTAACTAGCACAAAATATAATCACTGGAAGATGACTTCTTTTCGTGCTTCTAATCTGAGGAATTAATATTAGATGCTCCTCAATCCTTATCGGATGAATATGTTCAAACATCTCTTAATTCGCTGATTTTGCCCTGCTCAGTTCTCACTGCGCATAACAAGATGAAGAAGATGAACCAAAACTTCATAAGGAAGATAAGGCCCGTTTCAGACGCCGTGCTACTGCCGTGCCGAACTCAATTGATCGAATTAAAATTGACTTTTAATTTAGCACGGCAGTAGCGCGATGTTTCAAACCAAGTCGTACTACTGCCGTGTAGCACGGCAAGCCTTGCGGTGCTACACTGCAGCAGCTTGACTTGGTTTCAAACGTCGTGCTACCGCCGTGTCGAACTCAATTCATAAATTATAAATACATTTAATAGTTTGCTCTACTCTACCAAGTGGTGCTAGTGTCGCGTTGCAGTCGAGCTACAGTCGAGCCAGCTTAGTAGGGCAGTAGCACAACGTTTGAAACAGGCCTTAATAAACTGAGATTGATCGGAAGGGATAGTTACTAAAAATTTCGATCAGTAGTAATTTTTCTAGCTGTTTTGAGAATGTGCATAACATAAGCGGGAGGTGTGTAATTCTTGAGTTCCTCACAGACACGGAATGAAGCTTTCCATAGTTGATAACGATCCTGTTCTGAATCACTGAAATCGCCAGTTAAGCTCCATCTTTACTGTATTGTTTCCCCGATATTTACATGTAAATTTCAATTTCCACCTTGCATGCACATTAATGGAAATAAATTTGCAAGTGATGTGCACCTCTGCAATACTACTGCAGTAACGAGCTCGGTGAACCCACTGTTTTTCGAGATTGAATAAGAACAGTAACTCCTGTCGATAGGAAAAAAATTGACAGAATTCTATGGCCGGTTTTTTGGAAATTTGACTAAATTGTATGGATTGAGCTATGACGAGTTGACCAGCGCATGTCCAAATAAAGTCTACTTTAGAGCATAAACTCAAAAGAAAAGTATTCAAAGGCATTTCGAGGCATGGATAGATAATAGAATGAAGGAAAACCCTTTGAAAAATCGCATTATTTGTGCAGAATATCCTGGCTGTTTTCTAGTTTTACGTGGCACGAGGCTATTGCCAAAGGCGCCTAAATAACCATTTTTGTCGCTGAACATTGTACCGTGGAGACGAGCAAGGTGATTCATATTTTTATTGCCTTTTAATAACTTTTTGACTTACGTCAGCAGTGTAACAAGTTTCATCGATAATCTGTCAGACTCGTTTACTATTGAGGGAATCACCTTAAGGCAAATTGAAAGGAACAGTTTGACTGCCTACGAAACGGCTTAAGGTTTGTTTTATTGCGACCGAAACGGAGCGAGTCATAGATTAGGAAAAACTTATGTCATTAACTTGTCTTTGAAATATCAAATATATCACTTAATACAATACTTGGGTTATGAGTTAGAGACTGCGTGAAACAAGTTATTTTCTAACAGTTTTGGATAATTGTTAATCTAGCAGGTGATACTATCTCCATGACGACGTGTCCTCCTTTTTCTCAAACAAACGGTATTTACAAGACTAAACATAAAATATTACGTAAGCACAAAGACCGACTTTTGTTTTTAACTCTAATTTAAAGTATTGAAGATTTTGATCGTTCTCCATGGTATTATCAAACATACTGTATTCACTATCGTCAGATAAATTAACATCCAAAAAGGCCCAGTATTATATACTCATGAACTGATATCCAGAATTATATGTAAATTATAATGGAAAAGTCGTTACATAACATTTTAAAAATTAGGCAGTTACAAATATCCCTTTATCTTGAAGTCACCTGAATTTTTTTTCACAGGTTGTTTTGCTTGGTGGTCGAATTTAAAGGGTAGTTTGAAAAGTTTTTATTTGAATCGTTTGAAGAAGGGGTTTACAAATTAGTCGAGAAATTTTTTGAAGGTAATTGTTTGAACACTGATTGCTGAAAGATACGCTTTTTTTTAGTTTATTATAAATAGGTAACCTACCAAGTTATCATATAAAAAAAAGCAAAACATGAATTCAGAGTTATTAAATCTACATTTTCATCAGAGAATCGCCAAATAAATTCTTTACATCATGCTCCGACATTTAAAATAGTCTACGGGTGACCCCTCAAAGCGGAGTCTCACAAAGCATTATGATCTCAAAACGACAATGTTCCAACCTCTTTCCTTTGATATTCATGAGAAAACATATCTAAGAAAAAATTGCGTTGCAAAACTTGACGAAAAGGCAGCTGAATTTATTACTAATTACACACAACTTGAATTTTTTAGTTACCTTGTTTTCAAGAACGTCGATGACTCAGAGCTTCTAAGCGGCCAATTTTTTGGCTCTGAATGTTTTCTCGTTCCGGTTAGGAAAGTATCATGTTAGTAATGTAGAAATGTTAGTTTACCAAAGCGTCTGTTGCCCTTCCACGATGGCTTTTGTAAACATAAAGATCACTGCGGTGGGAAATTTTTATCTTACGGACACTTTTCAATAATTTTATTGCCGTTAATAATTCGCAGTACGTCATTTTTCCTTTTTGGGCAAGTTCATGATTAAAAATCCCACTGCCCACGGACAGAAACTAAGCTTAAAACTTTCACTTTTAGACATAACTATTCGCTGGTAAGTTATTTAAAAGCGTTCCTTTTCTGACATTCAAATAAATCCGCTAGGTCATTCCCCTCGCACAAAACGTAGGTGTTAGTGAATCCAGAGCTTTCAATTTTTTGCTTTTTCGGTATTTAAAATATCTGTTTGTGGTCCATATTGCAGGTTTGATGCCTGATTTTTACATATTTCTTAATAGCTTTTATTGATTTCTTTCTCTTATTGCTTGAAAGTGATCTTAACATTTGAATATGTCGATGACTTCATATAACTTTTCATGAAATGAAGAGCATAAAAGTATGAGTATTTCAAAAGATTTTCCTGAAAGAATTTTTCCTCGTGAAGAAAGAAATAATGAATAAAAGTTTAGTTTGTATTTTAGACTAACAAAGGTCCCACATTAAAATATCTAGTAATTTGCATTATATCAGGCACGACGAAAATACATTTTGAGTTATTCTGAGAATCTGACCAGTCGCATTTTAATAGAAATAAAGCAGATAAGTCTAATTGAAGGGAATTGTAATTTTTGTGAAGCAAAAATTGTTCGAGGGAGCAGGTGTTTTGGAAAACTGATTACTGGAGAATAGTGCCTGGGTGGGGGAGAGGGGGGGAGCAGAAAGATAGATTTTATCAAGATAACTATATTGTTTGTGATGGTGGTCTCACCTGGTTCATTGAAGGATACAGATCTTTCGAAGTCAGCCTCACAGACTAAAACGCATTAACCAAAGCGGAAAACAGTAAAACAGCCGAGTCGGAAAGATAAAAAGCAGAATTTGACACTTGTCATCGGGAGAGGAGACCCAAAAATAATGTTCTGTTTCCGAAAGAGAGAGATTCTGTTTGCATTTGCAAGAAACGTATAAGTTTCGTGCACAGGAAGACGGCAATCTGATATTTAATTAAATTAAACGCCGGGTATGTACCAAAAAAAAGACGGGAAAAAGGTGACAGATGAATTCCATTGCTAAAGGCCAATAGATGAGTTTCCCTTTGTGTTCAAAAGTTGTCGTACTATGCTAAAGGTAAGATGTATTCATTTAATGAAATAAAAAATAATAAAAAATATATATTTTTTACAATAAACAATCCTTTCCTTTCGAGCGATGTTCATCCCGATATCTGACAACATGGTTTTAACGTGAAATTAACGTGTTCTTTAATTAATTTATTTAGTTTTGTCATTTACGCTTGGAAATATATATGTGAGGTCGAAAGCCCCGAATCTTTTTTTCAGGAACGAATCACTATTTTTAAATGGTTGTGCACGTCCTCCTACAATTTGTTTCCATTAATTATAAGTGTATTGACTGACCGTCAACCAACCAACTAACTTAACAAACTCAACAAAGTTTGTTAACTTAACCAACTAAGTTAACAAACAACATCCAAAATGTCTCGAGCGATTAATTTGTTTTCTGTTTTGAGTGAAAGTGAGAACAATCCCGAACACTCCTTGACACGTCGAATGGATAAAACAAGCAGAAAGAACATTTAATGTTGGCCTTAGGGTTTAATTTTACTTTTTATATTTTACCTACTGCGCTGTTTTTTGGTTTGTTTCGGCGGTGCTTTGGAGTGTGCCAGGTTTTTGAACTAGCCAAGTACGTGTTCCTGTGATATGATCTTAACTTGCTTTGCTCATCAACATATGCATAATTATTTAGTCTGCGATCAGATTTTAGGGAGCAGTCGTTTTTATGCTTTTAAAACTGCAAAAGCGGCTTTTTAAAAGGATCTTACTTGGCTAATGTGTGAAATATTTACAGCTTCCGATGTCCAAACAAGCCGCTTTAAATTTTAAGTGTTGGAAAATAATTGAAAAACCATCTCATTACCCAATTTTTTTCTCCTAGTGTGACTACAAATCGGCTAAAAGCCGGAACAAATTTAGAGAATTGAAAAAATTGTTAAATAA